GTGGGGAAATGGGGAGGAATCATATACCTTTGTACATACCTCTAACGGATAGGTATTTTAAACTCTGTGAAGTTCTGGTGTCCACACTAGTAAAGATGCTGAAACCAAGGGAGGATGGAATCAAATGAAATTCCTAAAAACTGAGAGCTAGAGAAAGCAGAAAATAAAAGTCAATGAGCTCATAATGTTTAATTCATTTAAAAATTATGAAAGAAAGAGTTGAGTACGATACAAAAATTCTTTCTGAGAAAAAACAGACTGCACACTGCAAGGGTTGCTAAATTTACTCAAGGAAGAGAGCTCAAAAAGTACAAGCTATTCCTGAGCATATCTGCTGGTTCACAGAGCTAAAATTGGAAGTAATCTATGACAATCTTTAAAAGAATACGTAAGGTATCACACTACAGAAATTCTATTCATCACTATGGATAAATGAGTAGGAATTCAGAATCTGATAGGAAAATCTGTCTGTGGATAATATGAAATAAATTTTCAAATACTTTTTTTTCAAATATTTTTTTCTGTACTCCATTTTGCTTGCTGCCTTCACTGTTACTGACTGGTTTCACTAGATTTTCTTGTTCAGAGGATATCTAAGCTGAGCAAAATAAAATGTAAATTAGATGCAAGTATGCAGTTCTTTACAGATTTTTGATAAATAAGTGTCAGACAAGCAATGCACCCTACTGGCTGTGTTACGGAAGGTGCAGAGCATTTTTCTATAATGAATACATACTTAAATAAAATTACTTAAGTAAGCAATGCAGGTTGAGTAACTAGGGGGAAGCAACAAACACATTAAATATGAAATTAGGAAATAATTAATGTTAAAGAAACGTTATTAATTACCATTTATTCTCACTGAAACCGTGACAGTGCTGCTTAAATTTTATAGTTCAATGCTTTTAACCGATTTTTCAGAGAGGTTGTCTGAACCTTGTTGATTAAAAAGGGTTTCTAAAAATGTTGAGAACTGAGGCCCAGATTTTAATGCTACTATAGTTAAATGTGTATGTGCAAATATTCCCACTGGAGAACAGACTACTCCATGAATGTCTGCTGACCCAGCACTACCTGCTTTCTAAGTAACTCTTAAACAGCTCTTAAATAGCTCCTCTTCTTGCACTTTACATATCTTGGACTCTACTGGAGCTGCAGATCTCCTTTGACTTAACTGTTTCCCAAGATTTTAGTACAACGCCTGGGTACCGCATAGGGAAGCAGAGACAAAGGCTTTATATATTTCTCTGTGTCAATCTTTTGATGATTCATAGCTTATAATTTCATTCAAGTAATTAAAACACGCGCTTAGATACTTGGTGCTAGTTCTCTGAAGGTAAATCCAGCCCTATGGCCTTGAACCACAGAAAGTTACATATAAAGACTTACAAAAACAGTGGTGGGACATTACATGAATGTCATCTCCAGGAAGATTATTTTTTTTAAATGTCACTTAGAAGCCACATGAGCCCTCCAGCATGTTCTGTGTAGCTCCCTTTTATTATTTCCTTAAAATATTTTCAATATTCCTACGTGTACACCTAAGTGCCTCACTGTGATTGAGACGCGCTGGGTGCAGCATGACCAACGGGGGTGTGGTAGAGATCCCTGTGGCTGCTCCTGGAATGCCACGGAGTGATTAACACTGACCCCGCCGCTCATTGAGAATGCGCTATTAGGATATGCAAAGCAACTTACATGGGGACGGAGAAAGGCCCTGTTCCCATTAGCATTCATGGGAGCTATGCAGCTACAGTCTTGTTCATCAAGTTTGGAATATACCCTTTTGTTATTGATGGGAAAATGTCACCAGTTACAAATGGTTACACACAGGGGTGTACCAGGGTCAAAGCAAACTCCAGGACTTTCTTTCCCCCTCTGAGGCAGAGTGCTGCTTCAGCAGTTCTTTTTTGACCTGATGGTACACCTCCTTAGATAAAAGAAACGGTGAAATTCCCCGCGCTGACCTTTTTCGTAGCCCCACCACCCAAAGATTAAAGAAAACCTCCACAAGGACATGCCAGTACCGGCGTAGGAAGGGACAATCATCAGACACTGCTGTAGGCATCAGTGAGTATGAAGTCTGCCTTCACACTCCTCTCCAGGTCCACCCACAGCTCGGACGAGCCTCATAAAACAGTCTTTCAACAGCATGAATAGGGGCTGAGTCATCAGTTTCCCAGCTACAGACAGCTACAGTCACTTCATTCCTACTACTGAAAGCTTCCTTTAAAAAACAGAGCAGAACGGGTCGGTGCTGTAGGTATTCTTTGCCAGATGTGGCACGACACCTCTCAATGGACGAACTCTCATTCACTTTGTTATAATTACTCTTTAGCAACTTGGGATCCCAGGGGAAAGCTTAGGGCTTATGGGAATTTAATTCAATCACGTTACCTTCAACAAGGCACACTGCTCTTGCTGGAAATACAGCATGGGTTTTGGTGGGAAATCCAATCCACCAACCTCAGAAATACATAAAATCATCCTGGGACCACTACCAGCATTTGTCATGTAATCTGACAATCCAAGCTCGTCCTTGACGTGCAGAAGCTTCTATGTAGGGCTGTGCATAAGGCCTTCAGTGCAGCTACGTTAATTAGCATGAGCTGTGCGTCTGACCCAGGATAAAAACAGAAGGCTTGCTTCTGAGCAGGCTCTGATTGGGAAGACACCACAAAATACCTTGTAGCAAAGAAAATATCCCTAGTTAGTCTCCTGAACTATTTAGAAATATTCTGCTGATACATAAGAAACTTTGGTTTCAGGCAATTCTAATCACAGGTGGCATCAACAGCAACAATTCAATAAACACAGAACAATGAAGTCCACGAATCAGCCCAATTTGCTGCTGGAAATAGTTTCCTGTTTGAGAGTTAGCAGGTTGGCACTGCTGCATGCTTCTTCACAAAATGCAGCAACCAGGGATGCCCAACCTGGCCTGCTCTTCATGTATGCTCACCACCTGTGTCTGCACCTGAGAATATTTATGTTCTTTCAGGCAAGTTTCTTAAGTAAAACATAGAACTTCTCTACTCCTGACAAAATATCAATATGGAGATGTTTGGCTTTCTTTGTTGATGCCATTTGTCTAGAGAGTACCTAGACACTTTAGAAATACTTTAAATCATTTAATCCAATCCTTTCCTCATCAAAAATGAATCAGTATTTTAAGGTAGATATTAAAACATATATTGACTTTTTAAAATAAACTGAGAAGCAAAAACACATTATACCTTGGCATCTTATTTTACAATGCCTGAAAATACGGCTTGAATCTTCTCCAAGTTCTGTGAGTGCGATGTGTATGATGCTCCATGGAACTAAATAATTGTTAGCTCTTGTGTTTACATGTCAACACTCACAATATTTAGTTTTCAAAACTACAGTTGTAGAAGAGTTCTGCATTTTTTAATACCAAGCACACTTCTAACCACTGTAGTTAATAACAAAGCTAAAAAACAAACAAACAAACAAACAAAAAAAAAACAAGGTGAAAAAAGAAAAAAAAAGTTATTTAAAATTACTGTGTTTTGTTTTGTTTTGTTTTAAGCTTAATCTGTTTAGGAACTTGATTCACAACCACATTTCCCTTCAGCAATAATGCAGTCAATTGTTCGACACACCCAGCCTAACCTTAGAGCTGCCAGCGTTTGTATGAAATACTGTACTTGCTCCTGCTGTAACCAAGCACACCTTCCTAAGGCTTTGTCTGAAGAAACTTCTGCTAGACTGAACTTCCTACTCAGACCAGGAAGTCCTCCAACTGCAACAGCTGCTGGCAGGTCTGTCCTGTAACACCAAAAAACTAGCATGATTGTTAGGGAAGGCACAGCATCTAGAATGTTTAACTTATGGTCTGTTTCTTCTGAGAGGAATTTACAGAAACATATATAGAGATGTGTGTGTATATATATATATTGCACAGGCTGAACACCTGCATCCCTGCAGTACATGTCCTGAGGAGGGAAGGGTGAGGAGAGATAAAAAGCAGAAGACAGCTGAATAAGCAACAATACTCTAAGATCCAAGGCAGGACTGACACGTCAACAGTCCCTGCAGACAAGGGGCGAATTGCTACAGCCAAAAAGGGCTCTCAGAAAGAGCTGTCTTTCTGCCACAAACGCAGGCAGCCTCCGATCTGCATCCTCCACAAAACGGCTCACAGAGCCCAGCCTGCTGGGCAGAGCCCCAGCGTGCTGCTGTTTTCCTAGGATCCTGTTGCCATCTATAGGACCATGTTATACCTAGGATCCTGTTGTTACTGTAGGATCTTGTCATCCCCGGGATCCTGCTACCCCTACGATCCTGTTATTTCTAGGATCCTGTGGTTATCCACAGGATCTTGTCACCCTTACGATCCTGATATCCCTGGGATGCAGCTATTCCTAGGAGCTTGTTATTATCCCCAGAACCTTGTTGTTATCCCTAGGATCCTGTTGTTACCACAGGACCCCGTTATCCATAGGATCCCCTTGCTATCTCTAGGCTTATCAGGAGGATCCTGTTGTTACTGCTAGGATCCTGTCATCCCTAGGATCCCATTGCTATCCCTAGGGTACTGTTATCTGCAGGATCCTGCTGTTATCAGGATGATCCTGTTGTTACTGCCAGGACCCCGACATCCCTGGGATCTTGTCACCCCTAGGATCTTGTTGCTCTCCCTAGGCTCCTGTTATCTGTAGGATCCTGCTGTTATCACTACGATCCTGTTGTTACCGCTAGGATCCTGTCACCCCTGGGATCCTGTCACCCCTGGGTCCCTGTTCTTCTCTCTGGAGTCTCGTTATCCCCAGGACCCTGTTGCTACCCCTGGGACCTGTCACCCCTACAACCTCTCGTCCCCTTTCCCTCAGGGCCGCGCGCGGCGCCTCTGCCCGCGTGTCCGTGTGTCCGTGTGTCCGTGTGCCCGTCTATCTGTGGGGCCAGCCCCCAGGGCTGTAAGATGGAGGCCGGCTCCCTGCCCCACAACGCCGGATGGCGGCCGGCCCTTTCCGGGGCGGTGCGAGGCGGCGGGGCCGGCCCTGTCCCCGCGGGGCGGTGGGTGCGGAGCGGCGGGCATGGCCGGCAGAGCCCCGCAGCCCCCGGCCGTGCCGCAGCCCCCCGGCGGCGGCCACCACCACCATCACCCCTACCCCTATCCCTATCCCTACCCCTACCCGCACCCGGTGGCGGCGGAGGGCGAGGGGCCGGAGGAGGAGGCCGAGGCCTTCGAGCTGCGGCCGCGGGGCCGGGAGAAGGTGCGGCGGAGCGCCTCGAGGGACCGGCCCGACGACATCGTGCTGCTGGCCAGGGACATCCAGGAGGGGGACACGCTGAACGCCATCGCGCTGCAGTTCTGCTGCTCGGTGAGTGAGTGCCTGGGGGGCTCGGGCTGGAGGAATAGTTCAAAACCACCCGGTCCTAACACAGCCAGCACCCACGGACCCTGTCCCCAAGCGCCACGTCTCCTGCAGCACCAGGGGTAATGGGAGAGAGGTTTGGGGCTTCAGGCAGAAAGCACAATTTGCACTGATCGCTGGCATAAATGCTGTGTTTTGCAGCCTTTTATCGTACTCTTGCTCAGTGTGGTCTAGTTCAAAAACACACTTTGGAATTACAGGGTTAGCAGAGGCAGTAGGCATTGATGGTCCTAACTTCTGCCCAAATCTGTGTTTTAAGTTATAGGGAAAACGGCCTCCAGGCCTTACTCATACCTACTTCAGTGTCTTCTGATATAGGATGTCATCCCAGTGAGGATAGGAAGGAGATGAGCTCTGGTACCTTTAACAGCCACAATTTCCGTATTCGTCCCAGCTGTAGCTAAAAAGTACCAGCTCCCAATTATGGTGAGGTTTGTGGCAGTGCCTTCCACATGCGGGGAGTTACTGTGCCAAAACGGAGCTGCTCATTCTCCAAGCAGTGTTAAACCCTTGCAGAGTTGTTTCCCATGAGGGTGAAGATCTGAACCTCTTTTAAGAGCAAAACCAAATTTGTTTTGAGGTAGAATAGGCAAAGGGGAGAGCTGACTTCGAGGGAATTGATTGAATGAGGCAATTTTATTTATAAATATTTATAAATGAGGGAAGATTATAGTGTGTTAAGTTATGTTTGCTTTCTACCTTAGGACTCAAAAGCAGGAATCACATCCAAAACAGAGCTGTGGCTAGATGAATTGGAAGCTTGTCATTTGTAATCTTTACTCAGAAGTTTTGAATTTAATTAGGAACTCAGAGCCTAAGTCCCATTCATTTGACAGTTTCCAATGATGGGTTAATACACTTTAAGTGACTTTCAGTCATCATCTGAAGCATGAGGGTTGTTACCTTGTAATACCTTTTTGGTTATCATTGTTCAGGTTTGCTTTTTAACCTCTTCTCACTTCAGCCTGTTCGACCAGGTATCAGTTATCCCTTTCTTTCATAAGTGGAGAATTTGGTTTCTCAAGAATTTAGAACTTTTAACCATTTCAGGTCCATGGATCTTTTAAACTTACTTAAACTGTCGTGTTTATTTTTAGGTTGCAGATATCAAGAGAGTTAACAATCTTATCAACGATCAAGATTTTTTTGCCCTGAGGTCTATCAAAATCCCAGTGAAAAAGTTCAGTGTACTGACCGAGACACATGCCTCTCCAAAAGGAAGGCCAGTCCTTCGGCCGGCTCACTGTTCCCCAGAAGTGCAGGAAGCCTCACCTTCTGACAAATTCTCTGCTAACGAGACTGCTGGCAACTTCCTAAAAGAGGTGGATCGAGATATAGAAGAGATCGTGAAGTGCAACGATACGAAGAGAGAGAACCTTAATGAAGTTGTTTCTGCCTTAGCAGCCCAGCAGGTCTGTTTTGAAACTGATGGTAAAACTAAAAAATCCAAGGATCCTTATTACGGAGCAGATTGGGGCATAGGGTGGTGGACAGCTGTAGTAATTATGTTGATCATTGGCATAATAACTCCAGTTTTTTACCTCCTATATTACGAAGTTTTAGTGAAAGCAGATGTCAGTCACCATTCTACAATGGAATCTGCCCATTCCTTTGTCACAGCAGCTTCGCATCAGAAACAAATAGAAAATGGAATGAATCCAGCGAATATTATAAATGTTGATAATCAAGGAGACCTTCAGCCTTACAACCGAAAACCCCAGGCAACTGTCATTCATAGACACATAACATAGCGTTAGATGAAGAGGAAACCACAGAATGCAAAATGCATCTGTAATACGGATGAAATACAGAAGAAATGCTTAATGATTTACCTTTATGGGCAGTGTTCCAGCACAAGGATATTTCTGTGGATCATGTAAGCCCATAATGTGCTTCAGGCAGGAGATTTCGATGCAAGATTGGGATATAAATTAAGATAGGAAATTGTCTCTGAAGCTTTGCACTTTTTTTCTATTTTGATAGGCGTGTTTTTTCTAATTAATGATGAGGTGAAAAAGGTAGTTTGAGCTAACACATAAAGAATCTCACTGTACATTTTGCAGCCCGAAGATGGGCATTTGGGGATATCTATCTTTTAAATATCTTGAAGTATTTATAGAGTGCATAGTACATTTGACATTTTAATATCAAGTTTACAGTTACCAGATAGGACTACATTCTTATAATTTTATTTTTCTTACAGAATTTTTAAAACTCAGTCATTCCATAATTAACTGCCACTATAAAGCCCTCTTTTTCTTAGATGTCTATGAAAGAGGCCGTAGCTAATACTTAAGCTGGAGGCTTCAAATTTTGTGCCTGTGGTCGACCCATTCTGTAGTACTCTTCAGTATAGGTAGGAGGATAACTTGGTTCCTGTGTATGTCATGCTGTCCTTCAACACAGTCCAGTGGAGAAAGTCTTTTGTTTGAAACTTCACATCCTTCTACTGAAAGCTGACTTGGCTGGACTACTGTTCTCTTCTGCTCAGCTGCATGTGCGAAGAAACAAGTGAAGATGCGTGGCACCTTGCTCTGACTGCTTCATTAGTCTTTATTTTATGGTTATGGCTTTGTCTTCCTCCAGCACATCGCAGATCAAGAGCAGCTGCTTCTTCAGGCAGCGGCTGCTGAACTGTTTGGGGTTTTGAATATGTTAATGGTCCTTAAAACCTTAAGGACAAGAACCTTGGACACCAACTTTTTCCTGAAATCGCTTGCAAAACCTCACGTGAGGTTCAGAGGCTGCTAGGAAGAAGCAGACCAGCCATAGCTTCAAACTTCTTTCACTGATACTCTTCAGCCACTCTGTTCTTGACTGTTTCACTTGATTTCATGGACAAACTTGTTTTTCCCCTTCTTTTCTTCCCTACCTGAAAATACTACAGGAGAAAAATTAAAAAAAAAAAAAAGACTTTTCCTACAGAAAGAAGTAAAGAGGTACTTGTGTACTCTGAATATTATAAAATAAAAACTGAGATGTTGCCTATAATCTTTTGTTATATTTGCCTTGCGGAATAAGGTTTCTATTGTGCTGTTTGAAGTAATATTTGTTACCAAAGCTGAAGTTATCTGACTTTCACAAGGCTTAGAAATGAAAAATACAATTATCTTTTCAATTTAAACACTATTAGAAACTCTCCTTTGAGTGTCTTGACCAAGTATATGCAGTGTGGAAAAAAAAATATGATAAAGCATCTATTTTTTTTGACTACAGGAAGTATTCCAAAGTGCTTTATCAACTTGAATTTTCAAAGTAAAGGCTTTTGCCAGTATGGGGCAGATATTATTCACTTGCTTGCTAAGGGTATCTGCATGAATTGGTTTACTTTCAGTGCAGATTGACATATCCAAAAGCCTGAAGGGAAGCATACAGTTGGACCTGTGAGCTCTTGACTAAGTGGCTGTGGAAACCTTCGATCAGAGTAGTATCTCTGGAGACAGTATGGCTGCTCAGTTTCCACAGGAGAAGAGGCGCTCTAAATGAGTGTGAACTTCGTGCTTCGCATGCCGCTTGTTTTCAGAGCTCTTTTTGAATTTTATTTCTGTGAAAACGATATGGTAATAATGCAAACATGAACATTCAAGCACCAGTTCTGGGTAAGGCTATGCGAAAGGATGAGTTGCAAAGTGATATAAGGTGGCTAGCGTGATGTTGCTTCTATGGCTAGAAGCTTAAAAGCAAGCCAACTTTAGGAAGAGGTGATCTGCTCTTGTCCATACAACAGAACTTTGGCCCATTAAGACAGTGTCCTGCCAAGCCTGGGACCTGGTGCATAATGAGTCAGTTTTTTTGCTGTTAGGTTATTTGTTGGTTCGTCTCTTCCTCCATCAATCTCTCTCTGTTTATGGAACTTTATCCTTTCATTTCTTAGGAAATTGTTGAATAACAACAGATTAACAAGTGTGATATGCAACACAAGCCTAAGTAACTACCCATACCTTAACAGGCCAGTACTAAATTGCCATCACATCTGAAGTGAACTTAACTTCAGTTGTGGTTTGAGTTGGTCAGAAAGGTCTTTGCTGTTTATATTTAAGAGAAGAAATGCTTTTGTTGGTGGTGTTAGCGCTGAATGCTTCTCTAGTGTCTCAGGCTTCTTTGGGCTTTTATGGTGTTTTAAGGCCTGTGGCTTTGTCACTCAGTTGCTAAAAGTGTGATAGTAAGCATTAATTAGGAAAAAAAAAAAAAAAGAAAGTTTTGCTGAAAAATACTATGCTCTGACCAAGAGCCTGGCATGTTTTTACTGTTATGTAGCATATGTCACATAGCATATTTTTAAAGTAGAACATTAAATTATGAGAAAACACAGTTAAGTCTTTTTCCAAGATCATGGGACTTCAGGCAGTAGGAACCTACAAGCAGCAGCTGGCTTTTCTATTTGCAGGATGTGGGGATTTGGGGATTTGTACTGCTTTTTCCAAAGTACGATGTGACTGGCAATGTGTCCCTGTCTGTTAGTTCTGAATAAAATGGGTAACTGCTCTGTATGGAACTAAAATCTGATACAGTAAAGTAATTGTAAAACTAGTCTTTTAGAAATTGACTTTAAAAAAAATGAAAACAAACTGAAGGGTAAATTGTATTACAGCACATTGTTGGTCTGGAAGTTGGTTTTAAATATAAGTGCATATTGCACTGTTGGATCATATGAAATTTTAAATGCTTTAAATCTGCTATATTTTGGAATATGTTGTCAGAAATAATCTTTGTATAACTGTTTTATAAAGGTTCAAACTATAACTTTGTGAAATAATCCTGAGGATGCAAGTTTTATTTAAAATACTTCTGCTCCTCTAATTTTAGAAGAACATAAGTAATATGCATAAAATAAAGATTTTATTTTAGACTGCAGTGAAAGTGGTGCATACAGTGTATTCTTAACTCTCTATATTTTGCATGTGTGCTAGGAGGCCACTGCTCGTATTTGTTTTGGCTAGTTTCTCTGTGTGATCTAAATTACTCTTTGGCCAACAAGTTAAGTTTGTTGGCAGAAACTGCCTACAGCATTCACGTCTGGCGTAGCAATAACTGGTAACTTAAACGTTTGTCCTGTGCCTGTCTTGTGTAACTTGGAACTCTTCTGCATAAAGTTCCAAGAACTTGTTAGTTCTCTGAAATGAGCATTAAAAAAAAGGCATGAAAAATCATCGTTGTGGCCACGGTTTAGCACTGGTAAGCAGCTGAGCACTGCTGGCCTTGGCTAGACAGGTGGTTCCTAGGAAAACTCTTAGCTGGCAATCTTCCTGCACACTGAAAGCTAAAAGCAGTGCCTGCCTTCTTGTACAACATACCAGTACTTTTCTGCTATGCTGTTAAGACAGAATTTGAATTCAATTCTACCCAAATCCAAAGTTTGCTGAGACCCAGTGGACAACCTTGGGTTTTATCAGCATTATGGTGTTGCAATAAATTCTCAGCAGTTAGAAACACCTGTAGCAGTTCTCACATGTTGGTGTTTTGCCTCTGGAACATCACCATTTCATTTTGGAGGTGAAACCTGGAACTCTGGTTGCTCCTCAGCTTTGGCCTTACTTGCCATTGTTAAATTGGTCTTAGAAGATGTATCCTGAGACTTGTGTGGTTCCCTCTGTAGGACAGGTAACCATGGTTCACCTTTTAAAGATGCTGAATGAACGAGTTGCATGTCACATCGAAGAAACAGGCCCAACTGGTCAAGAAACAACTGCTCGCATGTATGTTGTCAAAAAAAAAAATAGAAAAAAATAAAAGCACTTTCTGTGCAATATAGCAGAATGTTTATTAAACACTGTTTGTACAGGCTTCAAAACACAATTAAGTATACCTCTGAGGTGTGACGTGCATTGCATTTTAGTTTCACTTCCTTTAGAATGGATACGTAACTTATCAGAACACTTGAAAGCTGCACCTGAAGCTGTACCTTACTGTGCAGAATGATTCACAGAATAATGCTGTACTACTTTCCAGTCAGCAGTGAGGCAGAGCACTGCTTGACAGAATGCCAAATTTCCACAAAGCGCACTTCTCATGAAAGAATTGCTTTTGTCTTAAAACTGTTGTTTCGTTAACCCTGATAATCATTAGCACTAAGTTTTACCAAGAACAGAATGTAGTAACCTGATCAATAACACTGATAAATACTATTTTGTATCATCAAAAGACAAAGGGACACAATATGCTGTCGTTGTGTTCCTCTGGTTTCTAATCTCGGGAATAAATCTACGTTTCGTCTGTTGGCTCTAAAATAAGATACGTGTTTCCAAGCATTCTAGCTTTGCTATTCTCAGCACTCATGTTTTCCCAATTAAAACCTCATGCATCAAAATACTTCACCACTTCCCTTTTCTACATTTTTGTCTTTTTATTGATTTTGCTGTCTGTAAAGCTTGTCTCATTTTTGTAGGAACACAAGTAAATGTGCTTTAGCACTTACGTAGATATCTGCCATCTCACTTAACAGCTCTGTGAGGTAGAAAAGTTAGTATTGCCTTAACAGGCAGAGAAATCAAGGCAAAGGACTGAAATTCTTGTCACTTCAATCTGTAAGACAAAGATGAAAACTATGATTCATACTTCTCAATCTTAATTTCTGCTATATATTCTTTCTAAATTAAATTACCCTAATTATTAACTACACTGATGCATAAAGGCAGTGTAACACGGTTAAATATTACTGTCCCTTTTCACCAAAATACTAAAGGTAAGAGTTCTGCTGACTAGCATAACAGCTAGTTCAAAATGCTCTCATTACCTTGTTAGTCCGTGTTACTGAAGTCCTTTCAAGTCAGTTTATATTAAAGTGCTTAGTGGTCAATTATTTTCAGTCACCTGAATTCAGAAGTTACATAAATTCCTTCAGAGAAGTCAGCTGCTAAATATGAGCAGCTTATTCCCATAAAGGTCCTATTTTTGCTTTACCGCGGTTATCAAAAATTGCGCTTGTTTTCAAGACTTAACAGCTAAAGCATAGAACTGACTAGTGCAAATGCTTAGGCACAGTTCAATTAAAATGCATACATTCTTTGTCTGTGCAGAGGCAATACAATGGCATATAGATTGCTCCATCAGTAGGCATTCCAGAGAACCTTGAAAAGGTGCATGTCTGCAAAAAATGGCGAAAGAAAAAAATGTGGGATCCAGGATCCCATTTCACAGCATAGTACTAATAAAATAAGGTTGTCCAGTATGTTTTTGGAGAGTATACTTAAACCCAACGGAGATAATGCATTGGCTCTGTCAGTGATACCCAGCTTACCTCCAGGTTTATATTTCAAGTAGTGTAAGGCTTGAACAATATACCACCTAGCAACAATAGCTAGTATGTTGCTTCATCCATATTGTCATCGCTGCCAGCACCAAAGTCATCTCCATCTTCAAAATATGAAGAAATGTAGTCATTTTCCTAAATAAAAACACAGTGCAGATCAAAACACTATTGCTATGCCTGTGACAATTTATTAAAGAAATGTGTTTTAAATTTGTTGAGCACAAAAATTTTGAAACATTAACATGTTTTTCCTTATTTCTTGTGGAAAAATAAAACATAATTAAGTTCCAGTATCTATGAAAGAAGAGGCATGATTTTTTAATGTAAATTTTGTGCCCTATTTTGATGAAGAAAATTAATAATTTTATGTATTCCTTGAGGCAGGACACGTTCCTGTTTGCAACCCTCTTATTTCACAGCTCTTTTGGAGTATCAAATCTGAAATACTCACTGAACTACAGCACAACCTACTGCAACAAAGAAAATTAATGCAGTAGTGCCTTTCACTACAACTCTCATTCTGCTTCAGAGAAGCTAGGGACATTTGGCTGGCAGCCAACACACAACTCAATGACTGCAATCTGACTTGCTGTAAATAGGAACCAAAAAAAAAGCACCTCTTCGTGCTCCTCTTCATCATATTCCTCTGGTTCTTCTGCTTCGTCATCATCTTCACCTTCTTTGTCTTTTGTTTTGTCTTTCTCATCTTCAGATTTCTCTTCTTCATCATCCTTCTTTTCCAACTCCTGTCAGAATACAATTTTGTTTATATGGTAATCCCATGTTAAGGTAACAGCATGCCCTCCGCACGACCAAAGTGTTAGGCTGCAGCTAGCAGCAAGATGACTAACATAACAACATTGCACATTTTTTATTTATTTATTTTTTGACAATAACTAAAGAAAACATAAAGTGGCCAGAACTTCATACAGACTTATTTTATCAAGTATAAGCCATCAGACTTCCATTCTAACAAAGGTATGTCTTCTGTAATAAACTGAGATGATGATTTCCCTTTAGCATCCACTCTTGGAGTAATTCACAGTAGGATGCCGTGTCACACCCGACAAAATAGTACCACATGCCATAAAGTAAAGGCACCAAACAACTATTTCACCTTTTAGCTTCCCATTTCCACATGGTGTGTAAGCAACACCAAAATCTGGATTTGTTTTCCTTCAGCAATTTGTGTTGTACTACTTAGTGAGATTAAGCACATCTTACCTCAATTTTTTTCAACACATCCAGGTTACTTTTAGGGTCAGAGCTGTTTGCCTTTCTTGGTTTCGCACTTGCTGAAATAAAATATATTACTATTATTTGTTTGGACAGTAAATTTTTCATTTGCTCCTAAGAGCTTGTATCTTGAGAACAGTAACTGCCGTGGAAACCCCAAACTCTCTGTATTAAAATTATCTTAGACTTTGAGCTACATCACTCTTAGAGGTGTAGTGGCCTTATTTATCTAAGTGATGTGTCTGGGGCGAGTTTGAAATTGTCTTTAAGCAGGTATTTGACCAAAGCTTTGGCCAAACTATGTCATTCAGTTCTGCAAAGTACTTTTCACCTACATACACTGTATTAAGAAACTAGAAAAAAAAAATCCACGTTGATATTTTTCATCAGCTGAAACGATAAAAACATATTACTGTTCATATACAGGTAGGACAGCAGTGCACTTCAGATAGATACATTAAAAAAAAAAAAAAAAGGCAGACAGGAGAGTATATGAGTTACAACACAGTAATGTGGTTACTGCAGCAAAGTGGCTTGCGGACCAGCGATGGCTCTTACATGAACATGACCTTTATCGAGTTACTCCCTACAATTCAGCCTTGTACTGCTGAACTATATTGTGGAGTAAAGGTCAAAAATAACATTCCATGTACCCAGGTATGAGCTGTCTGATTGCAGCACTCTCAGCTGAGGAATACCTCTCCCAGTTCCAGGAGGGGAATTTGACCGGGAGAAACAAGGAGCTCCAGACTGAGAAATATTTGAGCAGAGTTAAAGAGCTCTGCAGAGACGTCCTGTTTCCATGATTTAACTGCCCTTCTCCTTCTGTACTGCACACCACCGCATACAATTTACAACGTAGGGCTACACCTAGCACCTGAGCTCTTCTCAGCAGGGTAAAACTGCCTTTGTGAAGTTCCACACTGGTGTAGCTACACAGCTTCTGATAAGACACAGTAGCTTCAGTTGAGATTATGTTCCTTCCACCCCCTTTTTATTTTTTTTACACAACATGGTACCTGAAAGTATAATTAATGTGCACAGATAGAAGGAGGGGATAGCCTTTCTGATGTGGACAGTAACCCCCAGTGATACATATTTTATGTGTCCTAATACTTAAGGAAGCAGAACTTTAAAAGCTGCAATGAGAGTGGCTGCATTTTGCCATAAATAACATTCTGTTCGTTTCAGTGTTTTGCCTAGGAAGGGATTATGTGACAAAAGCACCACACACAGCTATGGGAAGTCAAGCTGTTCTGTAATAACATGTGAACTCTCTCTAGGCAAACACATCCAGAATGAAGGAGGCTTTTAGGGAAAACAAGTGTGGTTAAAAATGATTGTATCTGCACAAACACCTGCAGACTTTTAGAGATAATTTCTATTCAATAAACAGCCTGGAAGCCCAAAGAGACATGCAAAGTCTTCCGTTTAGTGGTGGGCGTCTCCAGAGCTCATCGTGATATTAGAGACAGGGACCCATCATTGGACAGTAGAATTTTAAGCAAAACAGCTTCTCACATCCACGTTGCTTTGAGGTACAATGGAATACAATCTGATCTTTTGAAACACCTGTTGTTACAGGATTTTGGCCTAAATGCATACATCTGATTGATGTAATATGTATGCATATAGCTGGCCTACAGGAGCTGAGGCCAGTCAACTTACAATGTTTTTCTTTTTATTATTTTATTTTATTTTTTATTTTATTGTGGTTTTGGGGTTTTTTTTTTTGGAGACACTGGTGATACCTAGGATCACATGGTCCACAGCCCAGGCTGTGCAGATGAGATGTGGCATTCTACCTAAAGTTATGTCAGTCACAGTCATGTGTTGTTAAAACACTCTGGGAAACCAGCAGGTAGAGTGAAAATGAAGCCAGGCCTGTGCATGTAACTGCAGCGATCCAAAAACCACTCCTACAGTCTATGAAGGTAGAATGGTAGGAAACTTGTTTGCATATCAGCGCAGATAAAATGCACTGCACTCCCTCGCCTTTGTTCCACTAAAGTGTCACCTAACATGGCTGTCCTCACAACACACCACGGATGCATACCAGACAGGCAAATGTGTCACTCAACAGCTACATACAAACCTCAACACAAAAGCATTACAACTTTTGTATGGCCTCCATATATATCATCAATATCCCCCACTCCCCCCAAAAAGAACTAAAATCGCATGATTCTTGCTTTTAGGAAAAAAAAAGCAGTTTTTTTATCCAATCAAATTTGGATGGTCAGCTGGTCTTTGTCATTAAAATTTTGTAAGAAAGTGTACTTTCAGGAGCAAGTAGAGAAGCAGGCACAAAAGACTAGAGAAAGAAATCACATTAATCAGTAATTCTCTGTGATAATCAGAACATTAGGCTATGAAAGAATGGTAGGTTGGCATTTGTAATTTCATGGAATCTCGGGGAGATACTTGCTGCCTGCAGGCTTATAAAAGCCAGTGTGAGTTCTCCTTTTAAAAAAAAAAAGAAAATGTGTACGTTCTGTTTTCTTGCGGGATTTTGCAAATAAGCAGTTAATTTTTGGTTGAATCTTGCAGTCTACCTTTAATACCATGCTTCTCAATGACGCTCTTAAAAGGAACAAAGCATCCAGCTGAGCCAGTCTCCATGACTACTGCACATTTCCCTTTTCTTTTTCTATTTTATCCTTGAACTGAAAAATGACACATTAAGGACTTGGACAAAGAGAACAAGAAAGTAAACAATTATATTTAACAGACAGCTAGAAACAGGGGGCCAAGCATTGTTTCACATCAACAGAGCAACAGGCTTCTACAGAGAACTTAAAATAAGTCATGCACACTAGAAAACACTTTCTAAAAAGTTTTTTGTTTGCTTTTGTTTTTTCCTTTAAGAACAACCAATACCAGCTCCAACTGCTGTTGAAGGATCTGGTTCACAATTCTGCAGAAGAAAGCTGAAAATAAACAAAAAAAAAGTAAAACCAGGGAAAACAGAAAGTAACCTATATTAAATCAGATATGAAATACCTAATAAATGCAAAAGTCAACCAAATCATAAACAATGTAACTGGGAAACCCAAAATACAGAGAAAATCTGAACAGCTGGCTATTTGGTGAATAGAAGAAGGGGAATTGATCACAAAATTCCAAAACAAAAAAGTTTTTTTTACATCTTTAATCTTCCACTATTGCATATTGGCACCTAGCTAGTTAATACAGTACATCACCATTAAAGGAAGAGAGATCTGTTCCTCTAAGTTAAAATCCTACAGAAACAAAGCAAAGCAAAGCAAAACAAAACAAAACAAAAAAACAAAACATAAAAGCCAGGCAGACTAGTAAATTATTTAGAAAATAACTGCCAAAAGCCCTGTTTATTAGGCCTCGTTAACATTTCTACCATTTTTTCCCCTAACCAGCTCCGGCATGTTTTCTTACACTCAACTAGTGTGTATTAAATGCTCTTTAAAAATATATAATCTACCTTTTTTCATCTTTTTTCTTGGCTTCATTTCTCTTGGGAGTCTTCTCCAATCTGCAGAGAAAATAGCTTTGATGCATGTAAACAACGATTTACTGTGGTAATCCTCCCCCTCCCACCAACACTGAGAAGGCTGGGACCCCTGCAGTGTTGTTTACGTGTATGCCTAATTGTTTTAGCACCCAACAATTTTACTGAATTTTGGCTGTACTTTAAGTTGAGGAAGTACAGGGAGAAGCAGCATTTCACCCAGTTAATGGAAACTGGTATCTGCTTGGGTGAGACAAAGTTCAGCCCCTCCAGTGGCCCAGATGGCCTCTTATTTATGAACTATGATTAAGCTTGCAGTATTGATCTATGCTGGTGCCTTTGTGGAAATTTAATGTCATAAAAACCATTTAGCAGTGACAAAGAAACTGTGTTTTTTTTTGTTTTCAGTAGCATTTCTGTATATTCCCAGTTCAAAACTGACATCTGCATGGGGAGTAAGGAAGAGGGAAAGCTAGAGACCGAGGTCAAGCTTGCATTCTTGCTGTTGTTTTGAATGAGTAAAAAATAAAACCAGATTTGTATTTCTTTTGGACAAAACAACGCTTCCCCTTGATCTGAAAACATGACAAGGGCATAACCCTCAAGAGGGAATAACATGCATTGGTAAGGATTTGCATACTTACATTGCTTATAAAATAATGAATCAAACATTTAAGAAGAACAGATAATTGCACAGGTTAATAGAGAATTAGCCTTTGGTAATCTCAGATATTACCTGGGGTCCACGCTGCATGCTCCTTTTCCCTGCTCTGGTACTTTTTACTGTACCTTTCAATTGCTGTAGAGAAAGATATAAAAAGTTACTGAATTAATTAAAAAGGCAATCCAGACGCTGGCTTTGGTATTTTCCTGTAGCTAAACATAAGTATATCCTCCTTATCCCACGCAGAGCACTTTCTCATGCTGTTGCTGAACAGCTAAAAACAGTTCCATGTCACTACTTTGAGCAGTTTTCATGGCACTTCCCAGGACTAATCATATGCTACGTACCTTAAAAACCTGCATTTTATACTCACCTCCCTCCCCAACCCCAGAAAAAGAGTTTCCAGTTTTTGAGTATCTCCTCTCAGTCAAGGGAAAGCTGTTCCTGTCCATCAAGCTGACGTATGGGCTGGAAGAGCAGACAGTGAGGTGGGTCAGAACCTGGTGTAACGGCCAGACCCAGGGGGTGATGACCAGGTGCAAAGTCTGTCTGGAGGTCCCCAGGGTCAAGAGTGGGTCCAGTCCTGTTTAGTATCTTCATTATGATCTGGTTGATGCATACCGTGCATCCTCAGCAGGTCTGCTGATGGCATAGAACTGGCAGGAGTGGCAGAAACACCAGAGTAGTGATGCCATCCAGGGGTACTTGGTCTGCAGCTCCCTCACGAGGGGAGCGGAGGGGCAGGCGCTGAGCTCTGCTCTCTGGGGACAGCAACAGGACCTGAGGGGACAGCATGGAGCTGGGACAGGGGAGGGTCAGGCTGGGGGTTAGGGAAAGGGTCTGCACCCAGAGGGTAGTCGGGCACTGGGACAGGCTGCCCGGGGATGTGGTCATGGCACTGAGCCTGATGGAGTTCAAGACGCTTTTGGACACCGCTCTCAGGTTTAGTTTTTGGGTGGTCCTGTGTGGAGCCAGAAGTTGGATTCCCTGATCTTTGTGGATCCCTTCCAACTTGGGATATTCTGTTTTGTTCTGTACTGGACAGGCTGGAGAAATGCTCTGGCAAGAAAAACTTAAAAAAGGAGAAGTGCAAAGTCCAGAGGAACAAGCACTGGAACAAGTTTGAAAGCAGCTCTGCAGAAAAAGACCTGGGGTCATGCTGGACACAAAACTGAAGAGGAGTTAGCAAAGTGCCTCTGCTGCCCTTGCTTGCTCCTAGGAGGAGACACTGAGAGCTGGGGCTGGTTAGCCTAAAGAAGAGAAGGCTCATGGGACGTCTTAGCAATGTCTATAAATTTCTGAGGGAGGGTGCAAAGAGGATGGAGCCAGGCTCTTGTCAGTGGTGCCCAGTGCCAGGACAGCACGCAGTGGGCACAAACAGGGTCAAGGAGGTTCCCCTGAGCACCAGGCAGCACTTCTGTGCTGTGCGGGTGGCTGAGCACTGGCACAGGCTGCCCAGAGGCTGTGGGGCCTCCTCCTGGGGGATCTTCAAAAATCACCTGGATGTGGGCCTGGGCACCCTGCTCTGGGTGGCCCTGCTGGAGCAGGGGTGGGACCAGATGAGCTCCTGAGGTGTCTTTCTAACTCAACCTTTCCGTCCTTCCATGATTGGGAAGTCAAAAAAAGAAAAAAGATAATATTTTATTCATCTATGCTTGAAACGTATAAAAACATCACAAGCAGATCAGATATACTCAGGTAAGGACGGCTGATGAGATGAATGCTCACCTCCTGCTTCCCCTCAGTCTCACAGCCAAACCCCTACAACAAAACCGATCGGTGACATTTGTCACCACTGTCCTAAAAGCACCCAGAACTCCCAGCTCTCAAAAGGCTGCGTGTCTGACTGATTGTGATCAAGCCGCAGGACTTTTGCGATGGCAAACCTTTGCAGTATAACAAATATTTCTGAAACAGCAGCAACATTTTAGTCCATTTTTCCTCTTTCCAGGCACAAGAACTAAACTGAGAAATGCACTTTAAATAATACAGTAGTTATACACTGTAGGTACATGCAGTTATACTGCATAAACAATCTTGTGCAATCTTTCATGACAAAAGGAGTACCAAAACTTAAGTATTTTTTAATCAGTCACATTTTTTCTTATCACAATACCATGCCCAACTGCAAAATCCACTGAACACAAGATTATTGATTCTGATGTCAGTAATAACTAATTACTTAAACAGGGACAATTTTTGTGGATGTAACACAAAAAAATCGAAGTAAGGACTGTGACCTGTACAGTCAAAGACTTCCAGCATACTCACCAGGGAAAACAGTCAGAAAATGAAGATGTCAGAAATTAAACTTGGTTTTAAACTTGTTGTGACAAGGGCAAACAGAAGACCTACCTAAAACTGTGCAACAAAAATACTGTGTTTAAAATGGCAGTGTCCAAGGGGTATTTAACAGATGAGAAATAGGTGGCCTTTACAGATGCTGTAGGAAACCATCAGCAACAGAGGGGAAATAAACTAGTAGCTTTATTTCAGCTTGATAACCTTTAGTGAAGCATTAATTGCTGATGCCATCAGTAAGAAAATACACCTGACTGACTCTTGCTACTCACAGTTAATGAATTAATTCCAAACCACTGCCAAGGTGACAGTCACCCAGCTGCAGCAGATATACCTGCGGGAAAAAGATGAATGATTCATAGCTTAGGAAGTGAAGAAAATTGAGAACTTAAAGAATATGGCTACTACTTGCTAAAAATAAGTGTTGAATGATGAAAATCTCTTCTACACAGTATACTACTGCATCAAAATTGCTAGGTAGTATTAGACATGTCTTTGGTTTACTACCTGAATAATGGACGAAAGATAGATAGCTATGTCCTAACTAATTAAAATGTTTCCCTTCTCACACTTCAAATGACATTTGGCTCACAGATGTGCTGACTCTTTAAAACAATCCGTTTGCTCCTGTAGCAAAGCCAGTCTAAGAAATTCCTGCCCATGGTCCCCTTGCTGCCTTCCTCTTACTCCTGCCAGATTTTTATGATGACATAGAAGAAAAAAAAAGGGGGAGGGAGAGAGCTGTAAAAAAGAAAACCCAAAAGATCAGTTAAAAATAATGAGATGAAAGCAAGCTGTTTAAGCTGCAGACAACCATTGCTCCATACCAAAACCCTGAAACTGAAGAGTTTTTCTTAACTAAAGGTTCAGTACAACTTAAGGCAATTTATCAATGTATCCCCAGGGAAACACTGAGCGTAGCTGAAGATTTGACTCCATCAGGTACCTGCGTACCTGTTTTTTTCCTGAAAATGTCATTTTCTTTTGTGGAAAAACAGTCATTATATGACTGGGCACAGTCATCAACACACAAGGCACAGTTAGCAACACTGAGAGACCACCACACCTCAGGAAGAAAGATGCAGAAGCAAAGATGACTTTGGGGTTAGAACTACCATGTGAGGCCCAGTTGGAAAAGAGAAGTAACATTCTCATGAAGTAGCTGCTTCCTTGGAAACTACTCGGACAGGCTTTCAGGCATGCCAGTTTCCTTTTTTGTGCCTCAAACAGAAATAGCAAATTTCAAGCCTGACAAAGATCAAGGACACAGGAAGCTTCTGTGAGATAAGAACCCAAAAATAGTGAAATGTGTTTATTTAAGAGATGAAGGAGTTATTTTGAATTCTACTACAATCTTAAAGGGATGAAGATCGGATCTCTTGTTCTCCTTGCCTTATAACCAAGCATTTACCTGGCAAGACCACTGCGCTGTGCTACAGCTGCCTGCTGAGTCCTGGTGATTGCCCTGCTCCAGCTGTGGGTCAGAAAAAATATTCTGCTTTTTGAGAGCCACTTGTTGAGAGAGTTCGAGAGGGACTGGAGCCAGGAGCTCCTGCCTGACACAGAAATAGGTGGCAAGTATCAGATGATCAGCAGTATCTACTGTGAGAAGCCAGGGCTCCTGAAACTGTTTCAGTCTTTGTAGCCATTCAGGGGCAGCAAAAATTCCCAGGGAGTTTCTGAAGGAATACTGAAACACCACAGAGACTGGCTAAACATCTGTGTTCAAACTAAAAAAAAAAAAAAAAGGGGGGGAGAAGTCTGAAGGCTGTAGGGTCATACTGAAGTGTGCTGCTCCGGTTCAAACACTGATTTAGTACAAGAACAAGCAGACGATCAATAAGGTGTGTTAATCACAGTACTGTACTGAAAGCATAACAAAAGATAAAAATTGCATATGCTCTCAAAAACAGCTGGAATTCACCAGTACACCACGAATAAAATGCACTCACATTTTAGAGAGGATGAGTCTGTGTAATTGTATCATGAATAGCCAGAGTCAGAAAATTATTTGATGGTTCAGGACAGATATTAAAACTCATGTTCTAGAGTTCAAGTAAGTTCTCACTATTCAGGATCAGCACACAATAGCAACAAGAAAGATTATCCTGGTGTTTGGCTACACTGGATTCCTTAAACATTTTTATAAAGCTCATTAAAGGCAGCCTACTGCACTGGCTGGACCTTGGGTCTGACACAAACTGCATTTCCCAATACTCTCTACTTCCTACCTTCCTGTAATAGTGCTTACCATTTATAGCACTCAGAAAAAGCACCAGCACATGCAGAAGGATGACAGGAACAGCAAAAAATCACAAGTGAAAAGAAGCACTCCTCCCTGTAATAACCTCCTGTGGCTGCTACATGTTTAAAATACTGCCACAGCACGGTAAACAGACAGAGCTGTTCCTTCCCTGCTCCCCTTTCCTTCCTTCCCACTAGCTCAGTTTTCTGACCAGGAAGCTTGGATTTTAAGAGTATAATGATGTATGATTGCATGTCCAGTATAGCAGAGCATTTATTTCTATTCGAGCAGTAACAAGGCTGTTAATGTTTAATTACATATAAGATTTGCAAGTCACATACAGTATGAACAAGCTTTTAGCTTCAAATCCAGGTCTGCTGATGCAAACCTCCGTAAATTGCTTATTCTCATCTCAATCTTTGTATTTCAGGTGATTTCAGTAACACTTACCAATCTTCCCTGAATGGACTCAGGGGAAAAAAAAATTCATGTTCTAGAACAGCACGTTTTATAACATCCAGCTACTTAAAATAAGTATTTTATTTAATATGTCTTTACATAACTAAAATGGCAACTGAATTTCAAGTCTAACATTTACTATAAATTTTTTGTTTGTTTGTTTTCAAACAACAGTTGCTTTCCAGTTACAGCACTTGTACAAGTGATCTGCAACTTCAGTAAGTGTAAAAGCAGGAAAAATCCATATTGTCATAGTATGGCTAATTATTGTTCCTCGTTATCAGCACTAGATACATCTTCAACACATGCATTTCACTACATTATCCTCCAGAGAATAAATACCGAAGACATAAGTAAAAATGAAAAGCACATAAACAAACCTTCACGTTCTTCTTCTACTGCCAAAAAATATGGCATTTTTTTCATAGTTCCTCTAAAATCTTGTTTTAAGGCCAACATGTAATCTTCGTCTTCTCCTGTTTTCAGAGGCACTGGCTTATTGTCTGTACTCTGTACAAATTATGTTTATTATTTATAATGTCTTAATATCCATCAAACATGCAGGAACACTAAAAAAAGCTACAACAAACATACCTAGTCCTGAAAGAGTGCAACTCGGCATTATACCACTTTGCAAAGATACTTTACCGCATTCTGACATGCATAATTTTACAAACAAATGTATACCTTTTATGACTTCACTGTATCTTTCTGTAAAAAGGTATCAAGCAATACAGGAAAAATACATAAAACCTGTGAAATAGCCATTCACATCCACCTTAAGCCCATGTTAAGGGTTCTTAAATCCCAAGAGCACTTTTTCTTGCCAACCTAAATAAATCAGAAACTGTCACTTCGGTCAGCATAGCCCAGGTCTTAACCTCTTCTGAAACAGTATTGCACCTACATTAAAGTATGATTACTCTGGATAATATCGACACAGTTTGACTGATGTCATGTCACAACCAGGTAGCACACATCTCATTTCTTTCATTTGCATTTAAATGAATTGTTAGGTTTTTCTTGGTGTTTTGTTTGTTTGCTTTTGAACTATGGCTCCTGAAACGGGAAAGATGAATAAGCAAAAAGAGTTTTTAAAATATACAGCAAACTAGGGCCAAAGATGGAATTAGTGTGTGGTAAATAGATAGTTTTGTATGTAGTAACTGGATATTTTTGTGTGTAGTAACTGGAATTGGTATGTAGTAGCTGGATATCACCTGATACGTGGTGCACAGACAGTATCTGAGTGCTAAGCTGCAATGCACAATGCACTGTCACAGAGCTGGATCACGAAAAGAGTTCGCCAATTACAGCTATGTTTGCTAGATGGACAACATTTTAAATCTCTGATGATGCTGATGGTATGCTGATGCACCTTAACTGGGTTTTAATTGCATTTACAGGAAATCCATAAGATCACAGAAAGCTCCTATTAGAAACGTGTAAGAGCAACAATTTACTGCTTAAAATGATTTCAGCATCAATCAATCAACAGCTGCAGTGTCATACTTCTGGTCACTGCCCAATCATTAAATATAATTCATGGAATTTCTAAACAGTTCTAGTTATGACACAATTTTTGAATGGCAGAGTGGAAGAAAAGTCTCTAAATTCTCCATGGCATACATTAGATATAGTGGGGCTAGCAATTCTACTACAAGCCAAAGCCACTGCTGACTGCAGAAGCTACAGTTGATACAGAATGCAGTTTCTTAGAGCTGTCAAGCAGCCAACATTTACAGTAGGAACAATGTAAATGGCTCACTGTAATTGAAATCAGACAATTCGAATTGTAAGGGAAATGGTGGACTTTGAGGACATGTAACATGGTTCGGCAAATCAAAGCCACTGGCAAAATAACTATTCAGGGAAATCTCAGAATCCCACTGGTTACATGTCAAACTAAAACGTTCTGTAACACGTGAGATTGAGAAAAATTTCATGCACCTTGATCAAATCCTGACATAAATGGGAAATTCTGTTATGTAAAACTGCAACACTGCAACACTACTTTTCAGCCTCAAAATTGCCCAAGTTTGCCTGTGTAGTAAAACTCAGCTTAGTAAGAAAATTATCTACTCTTTCTTACCCTTTAATTTTCAGATACATCCTAAACATAACCCAAATGTCCAGTCTCAACTTCCTTAATTATATAGAACACATCTCAGTTGTTTTCAAGTTATTTTCACATTCTGGCTACAGAGGCACAAAACACTCATCCTGAATCTTTCTGTGCTTGCATCAACAGTAACCTTATAAATCCAGATCCATTTGCAGCTTCTAAGGCGAGTATAACTTTATTTCAAACAAATTCAGATCCTCAGTGTTACTATTACTGCAATGTCCAGAAAACCAAATCAAGCTGAGGACCTTAATGAACAAACATCTTGCAAGCAATCCAGTTAACTATGGGATACCACAGTTAGCAAAGGGACAGGAAGTGGTAATGATAAAAACGATAATGGAAACAAATGGAAGTACATTAAGTACCTCAAAACTGACCTGAAGTGCTTAGGGTTGTTCTTATACTTCATTCTATTATCACAATGAAAGTGAATACACTCTACCCAAACAGTAAGAGCGTGCTCTGAGGTAGCTGATGTACTTACAGGAAATGGTGGGGGAGGCTTACACACAGCGTCGGGTAGAGATGCACCTTTGGAAAAGCCAATGGCCTCAATGTTGAAGGTAAACGCAGCACGTCCTCTTCCTCTACCTGACCCAGCCATTTGGAGTTCCTGCAAAGATTACAAGATTACAGGTCTTTAAAGAATCATTTTTCTTACATATATGCAATGCATTACCTATAAAAGTGCTGTGTAAAAACCCAATGTGTCGCAAATATTGCAGTAATCTTAAAACCACTCTCAAAGATCATTCTAAATTGGCAAAAACTTTAACACCCATCTTAGATTCTTCTGCATACTATAAATTTGGCACATGCTTCAAAACAGCTCCTCTCCTCATTTCTGGTAGCTACCTACCTCTGCATGCCTGAAATTACCTAATTACCATCTAACCTAGGAATTTCATAGTTTCCTCTTCTAAAGCTTAGATCCATGGAATTGATTGAGTTCAATCAGGGCTGACGAAGCAGAAGAAACAAGATAGGAAAAAAAAAAATGTTAATGGAACTTACTATGAAGGCATTTTGCACTTCCTGAATGAGTCTCAAAAAATAGTCCGTATTTGTCTCTGGAGTATTCTTTGTCCCTTTCCATTTTTGTTTTTCCTTTATCTTTGTAACTAGCTTTGGGTTCAAAAAAAGAGCCAAAAGCATAGAGGCTTAAGGTAAAAGCATCGAAGGATTTCTCTGCGCCAATTCAGTATATTTGTAAGCTTACCGTTGATAAAAGGAGGGTGCTTTAAACTATTTCACAAAGTATATTAAAGAAATAGACTGCATGTTCAGTAATTTGCTGCAAGACTGTAAAAAAACCAAAAAAACAAACAAACAAAAAAAAACAGCTGACATTTACAGCCACATCTCACTCCATCGCAGAATTGTATGACCCATGGTTTGGCAGGTAAAGCAAACTGTGAGAAACATTTTTCTGGCCCAGAACTCTCCTGTGCTGCTTACCATAAACTGCACTGCTACCCTGCAGCTTACCAAGCTGCTGGGTATGATCAAGCTTGTTCCTGCCATCCTGCTCTACTTGTAAAAACCCAAATAGTTCCACAGCATCCCACTGCAGGCATTGGTGTGAGACAAGAAGTCCAAATGGGGAACGAGAAACAGCTGCCAACCAGTCAACAAGGAACCCAGTACAGAATGATGAGTATGAACAAGGAAATGCCTACTTAAGATTTGTTACAACTCCTGCAAAAGCAAGAAATGGCCTTTTTATTAATGTCAGTGAAAAAAAACAGGTATTTTCTTGTGTATTATTTTCAACAGGAATAAGCTTTGGTTGGATAAAATGAAATCACTTTATACATTTCCAGGTCAGTCAGCAACACAGAAAACTATCTAAAAATAATCATAAAGCCCTAAATAAATCATTTTAAGAAAGACAACAAAGAAAAATCTAAGCCTGAACATTTAATGAACTGAAAATACAAAAATAAAATAAATTAGCAAAGTAATTTGCAAACAAGATGAAAAAGAAGATGTAAGACTGACAGAATTGAAGACAGGTAAAAGATAACAGCAAAGCCCCGAACATGAACAATTATCTAGGAGTGAAAAAAGGGAACTGACGACTGAAGAAAACCAAACAAGAGTTGAGGGAGATGACAAGGTACCGAGAAAAGGCACATTTTTTGGATTCAATATAACAGTCACTTTTTTAAGTTCAGCTTTAAAATTAATTCCAAGATTTTCCTGAAATAGTGAATTAGTTTGATGAGAAGTATCCAGCTTTAAAGCTAACCCTGTTCCAAGTGAGAAGTTTTGCTGAAACTTACAAGTTTTTGAGTGTTTAAGCCGTTTCTGTCTACTGACATCATAAAGCGATCATGAAAGAGAAATCATGAGGGAAACCGCGTGTTTTACAACTAACCCACTACGCCTGAGAAAGTTACCACGACAGCTTTATACTTCAAGAGCCATGACCGAGGTGTGACAAGCCCCTGGGTGCCTCTTCTCATTTGTGGACACTTTCCATCCCGTTGCACCAGAAGGATGTGAGGGCCACCCAAAGCACAGTTTAAGCGTGCCGAGTTTTACATATTGGCCATGGGAGCTGCCTGTGGTGTCACCCAGGCAGCCAGAGGTCTGCAGAGGCCTCGTGCCTGCTGTGGTGGCCAAACACCTGTGTAAGTCCCTGTTAACTTGTCCTCTGAGCAAAACTCCCCATCCTGCTGACTTTCAGAGAAGGGTGCAACCAATGGAGGCTGCAAAAAAAATAAAAATAAAGCAGGGTGGAGGGGTGGGGAGGGGAGCAGGTGGAGGAGAAAGGGCTGCAGTTTAAATGCTGGGGTTGTGTTGTGTTTGCTTTGCTTTACCTTATGTCCCTGAAGGAATCAGTGTGGGTGCAAACACTTGCCACAACAGCCTCGGTCCCCTGCAAGGTGAAAATATACAAAACACCCTTGTTTTGTGCCCCTTTACCATCACACCCACTCCCTCACGCTGCGGGGCACCCACACTGCCCCCATCCCCTCGCAACCCCCAGGCTGTGTCCCCTCATCCTCCTCACCCCCTGATGGCCCCGGGTCCCGTCAAATCCCCTCAAATCTCCTCAAATCCCCTCACATCCCTCAAATCCCTGAGTCCCCTCAAGTCCCTGAGTACCCTCGAGTCCCCTCATCGCCTCACACCCCCTGTCCCCTCACACCCCCCTCCCGGTCTCCCCACACCCCCAACCCCGTTCTCCTCACTCCCCCCACCCCGTCCCCTCACCCCCTGTCGCCTCACCCCCCCCGATCCCCTCTCACACCCCCGGGACCCCCTCAAACCCCGTCCCCCCCTCACCCTCTCTCGCTCCGCCCGGCGCTGCCGCAGTGGGGCGGTCCCGGCCGCTCCCCCCCCCATCCCCATCCCCATCCCCGTCCCTTCCCCTCCCCGCCCGCCGCCGCCGCCATGTCGGCGCTGGAGTGGTTCGCGCACAAGCCCCTGGGCGGCGGCATCTTCTGGATCCAGGAGCGCTTCTACGAGTCGGGCAACCGGGCCAACATCTGGCTGGTGCGGGGCTCGCAGCGCGACGTGGTGGTGGACGCCGGGCTGGGGCTGCGCAGCCTGCCCGACTACCTTCGGGCTGCCGGGCTGCTGGAAGGGGCCGGCGGGCGGCCGCTGCTGGCCGTGGCCACCCACGTCCACTTCGACCACGCGGGCGGGCTGCGGCACTTCGAGGAGGTGGCGGTGCACAGCGCCGAGGCGGCCGCGCTGCTCCGCGGCGACAACTACGAGGCCGTCACCTGGCTGTGGGACCGCGAGGTGGCGCGGCCGCCGCGACCCGGATGGCGGGCACGGCAGTTCCGCGTCCCCCCCGTCAGGCCCAGCCGCCTGCTGCAGGACGGTGAGGGACGGGGGGACGCGGGGGGATACGGGGGGACACGGGGGGCTGTGGGCGGTGGGGATTTGTGGGGTTGTCGCCGCCCCACTGTCGCCTCCCCCCCCCCCCCCTCCACCGCGTCCCGCGGGCGCTGTGGGGAGGCGCCGCCTGAGGGGACGCCCGCGTCGGGTGCTGCCCAGAGACGGCGTTGTGCCCTCCTTGGTGTCCCTAACCCGGTTTTTGTGCCTTTTTTATTCGTATTTTTCCGCATGCCGCTTTTCCTGCCTGCTTTCCGTTGCAAAATCTGGGTTTCCATGTGCATACAGCCTCCGCAAGCCGCTTTCTGGAGTCCCCAGCCCACCCCACAGTCCCCTGCCCACCCCACAGTCCTCACCGCAACACACAAAAAATCAGCACGCAGCAGGTGAAACCCCCCCGTTTGCACCCGTGCTGTAAGCATGTTCGGAAACATGCTTAGAAATGCCCACTGCTCACACTGTTTGTTTGCCTGGAGGTGCAGGATTTTTGCCTCAGGATGAGGACTGCTCAGCAGCACTGGAGGGAGCCAGCATTTAGAGGCTTACGGACAGCGTGCCAGTCATTTCTGGTGTCTGGTAACCCTTATTGCTCATAAACTGTCAAGGCATAACAGTGAGTAAAAACTAATTGGTGAAATACACACAGCAAAGCATGCGGGCTGTGTTCTGCAGAAGAACGTACATGAATGTAATGCTTCCACAAAAGGCTTTGTACAGGTATATTAAAAAAACAGAAATTTCTGCTCATTTTTTCAGTTTGATTTCATCGTTAACAATGACTAGGTTATTTTGGCAACAGGTAGCCTAACTGCAGAACACCATAGGGCACGAGTTAAAGGGTAGCAGTGCGATAGACAGATTACACCTCCTGCAGATGGCTTAGGTAGTTGCAGCCTCTTCCTGGCTGTCCCAGCCCATCACCCTGCAGAGGTGCTGGGGAAGGCTTAACTAAAGACTTCAGAGAAGATTTGGTGAGCAGTTTCACAATAGTCAGCAGGAGTTTGGGCTGGTTTTTCTTCAAATGGGAGGAATTATTAAAATCATGAAAGATCGCGCGTGCTCACTGTTGAAGTAAGATCAGAGTTTCTAGCACAGCTTTCATGGAGACAAACCCTGTGGAAGTGGCATGTCATGTCAATCCATGTGTAACTTTTTTGGGGTAAGTATATCCAGTATATCCAGTATATACTCAAAATACAGGAGGTTGCAGAGTTAAGTTCTGTTAGAATCCAAAGCCATGGCTTTTACTTGTACAGTGCCCGCTTCATTTATTGGCATCAGTTTTTGCGTGAACATAATTGTAAGGGAGCCTTCAGGCACCGTTCCTTTTGGCTGTTCCAGCTAAAGTGGCATCTACTTGTATTTTGCCTTACCACCTACCGTCTTCCTGGTTACATGTATCTTGTAAGACTTGCAGTTTCCTTTACCTGTTGCAATGTTTATATATATATATTTATATATATATATGTATATATGCACGTTTCTGTCAATTCTGGATGTCATATTCTGTTTCCTTGTACTTCTCAGCAGCTGGAGCAATGGGTTTGAAACCCATTGGGCCACGTTGTTCCCATAGCTTCACCGTCTCCACTGCTGTTTCAATCACCAGAACAGGAGTTTTCTGTATAATCTTCTCTCAAGGCAGGCCTGCTACTTCTATCAAGGCTTCTGAGCATTTCCTTTAAAACAGAATTTGTCTAAAAATTCTCTCTGATAAGTTTGAGGCTGCCTGCTGCTGCAGATGCGGGGACCCGATTCCCAGATAGGTACAGTATGGTTAAATGCCAGCTCTGCAGTGATTTCTAAACCCTGTTCTAGCGCTTTGTGAATGGAGTTGAGTGGATGACCTCCTGCATCCCTACCTGTAGCACTTGGAATTAACTCTGCCCTCCCAGACTCACTCCCAGCTCTGGCACAGTGCTTTACATCACCCTGGGAACACGAGGCAATAGTTCCCAACCCAGTCCCAAAGCACTCAGGTCTTCCAAAGAGAGGTCTAGCTTTCAAGAGTGAAGTGCCCTTCTTGTCCATAGGGCTACACCCTCAGGCTTGCTGCGTCTTGAGTAACTCTGAGGATACCTGCTGGTTGAGCCAGATGGTTCCCTAACTGTTGCACTTCTAATGTAACAGAAGTTTGGGAGCTTCTTCTTCACTTTACAACCTGCAATGCATATTACAGTTCCAAGCATCGTCCTCTTATGCAACTCTTGGTGTATGCTGGTCTCCATTCCATGAAGTTTGTGGTGCTGGATGTTATTTTTTGTAACTGCTTTGCATAGTTACTGAGCACATGCTTTAGAGAAGGTTTCTTACTCCTTCTCTTCCCAGCCCTAAAGTTTATGTATTTATCACCTGTGAATTAATGGATTTTGCACATTTATAACTAAGCTGGCATTATAACTTAAAATTAACAACAGACTTGTTAATTATCCTCCAACCCTGGACTGGCTTTCTGCTGAGGACACAAGCTCAGGGTCTAGAGCAATGGAAAGGCATTCACATTTAAGATGGAGAAAAACATTCTGTTTTTCTGTGTCTGATTCAAGTCAATTAAAAAAACATGTTCGGAGGCCAAACTTGCTACTCCTTCTGCAGTTTATGTCCTGTTGTTTTGCCATGCAAAAGTGACTGCGGTTGAGTCCTAGGTGAATTGAGGATAAACTTTAATAAACTGTGAAATACTTTGGAAATTTTCAGGGGAGGCATAGCTTAGATGTGTTCTGTTTGTTTCCTGTTTTATTTTCTCTACCACTTATTTTTATGTCATTCAGCTCATTAGGGTGAGAATTGGCTCAGTTAATACCGCTCAAGCCTGTGTTATCCATTACTATCACTGGGAAATAGCATCTTGTCAAGTGCATTTTTCAAATGCCTCTGGCACTCAGCAAGCAAAAAAGGTCCTGCTCCTGCTGTTGTGGGTGTACTCTGTTTAAACACACATGGGTAGCTGTAGGCTGTACTTTTTCGTGGTGTTTAACGTGCAGGATAAATGCATGCGTTCATCCCTGTAATGCCTCTGTTTGCAGGGGATGTGATCAGCCTTGGAGACCGACAGCTCACCGTCATGCACATGCCTGGCCATTCCAGAGGAAGTATTTGCTTACACGACCGAGAGCACAAGATTTTGTTCAGCGGAGACGTCGTGTACGACGGATCCATGATTGACTGGCTTCCCTACAGCAAAGTAAGTGACTACGTTGCAAGCTGCCAGCGCCTGATGGAGCTGGTGGACAGAGGTCTGGTGGAGAAGGTACTGCCTGGGCACTTCAACATATTCGGAGCAGAAAGGTTGTATCGCCTAGCTTCCAACTACATCTCCCAAGCGGGATTTTGTCACAAAGTGTCTACCTGTGCCATGAGATCCCTTGCAAGCATAGCGCTTCGTGTCACGAATTCCAGAGGCACTTCTTCCTGAAGGTGCGTTTTGTGTGGTCTGTCCCCTTGTGGAAAACCAAGTGACCTGTGAAAATGTTGGTGCAAGCAAAATGCAGTATTCATTAGGAAAGAGCTGGCAAAACGATGTGGATGAGCTGTAAAAGTTACTGTTTTTGCCAACTCTGTTCCTATTTTTATGGAAAAATGCATAAGATAGTAGCTTTGCCAAAGCTGCCATTTTTCTTTCTATTTTTTCAGGGCATGTTTGCACACATATTGTGATTGAAATATATCATTTTATTTTTGATATGATTCTAACAGATATGTATATGCCAAAATGAGAGGTTTTACATCCATGCCTGAAACTTCTTTGATGTAGCACTAGGATTGTGGCTGCTCACTCAAATCCTGCTCAGGTTTTGGCCTGGCACAGCTCATGCTGATGCCTGATTTATGCTGGGAATAGCACCAAAACGAGAGCAATACCATGGCAGGATTCAGTGGGCAGAGAGAGATAAGGTGTAGCCATTTTCACCTACAGCTTGCTGTCCCCTGCAGCAGTCATCTCCAGCATCTTTGCAAAGTAACTGCTTGGCAGTTTGTGCAGAATCCACTGATGTATGGAAACGGTATAGACCAAATTTCCAAGCTGGATGATAACACCAGCTTAACAAAAACAGCTTTTGATGTGGATCCCACAGCAGACAATACCGGGGCTTTCATGCTTCCCAGTAGGGTGCAGGGGACACATGCACCCTGATGGAGGAGGAAGAATAAGCCTTGTCACTGCCAGGTAGGGAACTGTTTTGCTATAGGTGTGCTAGTTAATGAACTATCGAATGCATGTGTTATGCTAGTCTGTACAACGTGGATTGGGCCCTTGCTTGGTGTGTTGTTTTTCCTTATTTTCTGATGAGCTTATAAAATAAAAGCTTTAATTACAGACTAGGGTATTCTCTAAATCGGAGAGATCCAAACAGGTGGTTGCAAACGTGAAGGTTTTGTTTGTGTTTAAGTGTATTTATGTGTGACTGGATTGTGACTTGGCTGTGAGCACTCTGTGGGAGGGACAGGGTGGAGGCAATAACATCACTTTGCCCCGCTGCAGGTGCTGGATGAAAACAGCTGGTATGCTTATTTCCGCACAGGGAATGTATCTGGAGCTGTTTACTGTTTGCTTATGAAGTGTTTTGGTGCCTATGAAAAGTAAAGCACTTGAGTCTGTTCCAAAAAAAAAAGCTGAATGCGTTGAGGAATGCTAAGTGACATTGTAACTCGCTTTTGAGTGTGGAATGTGTGTAGTTTAAAAGCTGTTGAAATGGTTAATGTTCATGTAATTATTATAACAGCCTGTGTACTTATCTTCTTTAAAAGGACACTGTCTGATGTTGTTTTTGTATATAAACATATACTTTCCTAATAAGATTGCAAATGTTTTTCCCAAATTTTAGTGGAGTTTTACCTTATCTGTTTGGCTTTCACTCTGCGTGGAAGCTTTGTTTTCCCCTCTCATCATTCCTGACGGAAAGGGAGTTTGGGCCCAAAGGCATGGGAGAGTGGAATTAGTGGCCTTGTTAACAGGTGTAAATTCCAGTGATAAAAACGGCCTTTTTGGGAAACCAGTTGCAAAATAAAAAGCATGTCTATCTAGAAATGATGAAGGAGAGTATCCTACATAGCCCTCTTCTCCTTTCACAGCTCACTGCACTCCTGTCTTTACCATTTGAGTATATTCTTTACTGACAGTAGTACTGATAGGCTGTGATGTGCCTCGTTCTCGTTAGCTGTGCCTCTCTCCCCTCTTTACAAGCTGCAGCGAAATTTTGTGTAGGCAGAACAAGTGTGACAGTGTGGCACCTGGAAGACTTGTTATCACTTGCATCATGGTCTCTGTTTTGGAGGAATTCAGGTATGCTGACATGCTACACAAGGAACGTTTGATCAGTGGACAGGCTCATCTCATATATGAAGCCAAGAGCAGTTTGTTTGGCCAGAGGAAGGAATATGAAAGGGGAGTTAGTCCGGGAAACAAAAAAGCCATTCCATGAAGAGGCACAAAACAAACTTCACCTTGTGGCTTTCTTTTTTATCCCTGCTGACTAACATGCTGCTGTTTTTTTTTTTTTTTTTTTTTTTTTTTTTGTAGCAGTCCACACGCAGTTCTTTAAGTCAGAATAGACAAAGCGGTGCACCTCACACCAGTTATCTGGATGAAGGCATGGTGCCTCAGGTTACCTAACAGCAATTGATTGAATTCCTCCAAATCAGATGTCTGCAGCATCTCACCAGTAGTAATATTGCTCAGTGCTTTTGCAATGAGTGCGGGAGCACTCACGATAAACCTGTGCAATAATTTCGACAACAGAGACCTGTCACAAAGCCTGCCAATATCTAGGAGACTGCTAAAGTTTTGGAAATATTAATTAGCAGAGTGAGATCAGTTTGATTTAGCATTTCGTCTTACACAACTGTAGTTTAACCTATTCCTTCTCCCCTTATGAGCCCTGTAGCCAGATTCTACTGTACTGAAACCAGAGCTCCTAGCAGGAGGCTCACAGGTACGCCAATTGAAAAGGAAAAATCTCCTCTCTCATTTCTGCTTAAATCTGTGCTTAGTGTTAGCTAAAAGATCCTTAAGTGTCCAGGTCAGCCTGTTAAGCATATATAGATAACAGCAATTACCTGTTTCTTCTTTTCCTTTACAGAAATCTATGGAATAATTTCCTAGATCAGAAGTGAGCTTTATGTGAACATAGCCCCAAATGGGGTGTGTTAGTAAACTGCTGCTACAATCCAGTTGAAATTAGTTTTTGAGGTCTTGAGATTATTTTTGTATTTATAATTCACTATTAGGTAAAAGATGAGTCTTATATAAAGAACTGTCTGTGACTATTTTTGTTAGGTATTACCAAATATGTCATTGCAAGAGTTTGACAGTGTCCCTTTAACACTGCTTGGATTAAATATTTAAAACAAACATTGTAAGTTTAAATATTGCAGCGTTTTGGACATTTGGAACTGTGTTGCTTTCTTTGTAAAAACTAATGTATGTTAACTCAGTTTTCAGTAGGCTGAGAATTTACAAAAAAATTCAGCTGGGAATTTGTGCTCTGTAATTCGTCAAGACTTTTGTGGTGTCAAACAACAGTTTACACGGACAAAAAGTATAATTAATGGTAATAAAAGTGTTACAGTTCTATGTGGTCTAGTAATTTGTATTATTTTAGTGAGAAATACTTACTCATTCTAAACAGTGTAATATCCTTAAGAAATGCTAGTAGTAGTTTTACTCTTCTGTGCAAGAGGCTGCATTAGAAACATTTGCATATCATCAACTGCTGCTGCATATACAAAGCCATGAGTAGGTACTTCTCAAAAAAACAAACAAACAACACCCCAAACCAGGCTTTAACACATACCAGAATTAGGTTTTCCATGGAATTGGCACACAGAAAATGTGGATGTGATGAAAGTATATGCTGAGGGATGAATTTGAGTTTGGGATGATTTTATTATTGCCATGCAAGACAGCAGCTAATGAGAGCTGTTAACTATACGTGAAACAAAAAGTACTCATGTAGTTAACACATAACTGGAACTTGAAATAATGCCTCTGTACATCCTGTTTAGTTCCTAAGAAAAGGTAAGACTCTAACCTATTTTGAATAGTCAGCCTCTGAAGGACTGAGTAGTGCTGACCACAGTGACATGTGGATGTGCAGCTGGTGTGGTTGTAAAGATCTCCTAGGGTGTGATGGCTGCCCACCCGGTAATTAAGAGGCATATCTGATTTAGGACCAGAATTTGCAAATGACTTCATTTGGTACCATTGGCAAATCTTGCTCTCAAAATGAGCACACCTTGTTAAATTCTGAATTTTATGCTGATGCTAATGACAAAATTTGAAGGCAAATATAGGCAGAAATAAAATCTATTAGGAAATTTATTTTCCTAATAAAATTTATAAGCAATTAGTAGGAATACAATACAAAAAAATAATTTAAAAATATCACAGTGTTGGTTCTGTCTACAGGATAAGAAAATGAGCACGTATTTCCAGAAGAGGCACACACAGGAATGCACTTGCTTCACGTGTCCTGTACACATACACATACATAGCTGTCTGTGTAGATTGTCCTGGGTGGAAACAGTTGGGTGCCCCCAGAAAATATTGAGATTTTGGCAAGAAGACAGTAAAGATTGCAGTTATGAGGTACAGGGCATGGCCAGGCATGGGTACTGACCTGTTTACATGCAAGCAGCCTCCTTTATCCCCCTATCCCTCTGTTTTCCCTTGCTTCTTCCTCTCTGAATTACCTCTTTTTGCCTGCTGACCTGCTCTGATATCCAGTCCAGGTTTGAAACAGGAACATTCAGAACGTAAGGTGTCAGAAGAATTTGTTGCTGTCACTACTTGTTCCTCAATAAATGGTTTTGCAAGTGTGTCACCCTAAAAGTCGGTCAAAGGAACTCTCTTAAGACTTAGTTTGGAGTTTTAAAAAGCAGGCATTGTGTAATGGTGATGCTCGACGCATGACTGCTCCACCTAGTGTGTGTGCCGAATTTTCCAGGCTACAGGGGAATCAAAACAATCATCCAATTTCCAAAAAAAAACAACATAACTATGCTATTTTCCGTAACTGGTTGAAGTAAGTATGTGCTTTTGTTTCTACTGATGGTCTTTCAGATTCTTGATGTTTGTGGATAGGTTAGTACTCAAGACGCACATACTAGGCTGAGTCATTTTCACATCCAAGGACATGAATACCCTGAGTTCCTCATCTAATCAACAGCTCAATGCCCTGGTGGAGATCAGTGACCAGTGGTGTTCCTCAGGGGTCAGTACTGGGACCAGGAGTGTTTGACACCTTTGTTGGTGACATGGATGGTGACATTGAGGGTGCCCTCATCAAGTTTGCCAATGGCAAAGCCACAAAAATGACCAAGGGCCTGAAGCACCTCTCCTATGGAGACAGACTGAGGGAGCTGGGGTTGTTCAGTCTGGAGAACAGAAACCTTTGGGGAGACTCACAGCGGCCTCACAGTGCCTAAAGGGGGCTGCAGGAAAGCTGGGGAGGGACTCTGTGTCAGGGGGTGCAGGGATAGGACAAGGAAGAATGACTTTAAACTGAAAGAGAGTAGGTTTAGATTAGATATAAGAAGGAAATTCATCCCTCAGAGGGTGGTGAGGCCCAGGCCCAGGCTGCCCAGAGGAGCTGCGGCTGCCCCATCCCTGGCAGTGCCCAAGGCCAGGCTGGATGGGGCTGGGGGCAGCCTGGCCTCTCAGTCTCTGTGTGGAGTATACACACGGCTGTCCTTCCTACAGCTTAGCAGGTATGGAAATGAGCCACAGAGTTTAAGGAGGCTACTTTAGTCACAAAGAGGATCATTGCCTAAATCAGAATTGCCTTCAGGCTGCCACATAGCTTCTGCTCATGTAGAAGGGATTTCTCTACAGTAAAGACTTGTTAGGCTTTATTTTAAATTTAATGTTGTTTGAAGCTAAATATTACAGGTTTTGATGGTAAAAACAAGGAATACTGACACTGCCCACACTGTGGTGCAGCACAGGGTTATCCAGGCTGGTCAGATAGCAGTCTGGCCCTGTGACATGCGTAATTAGCCCAGACAACTGTGTAGGATGATGGTAAACCTCTTTACCACTGGCTACATATAGCTTACACATTAGCACCCTCTTGCTTTTTGTAGTGTACTCATACCTCAAATTCAGCTAGCACTTCTGCAGAGCATGCACAGGCAGAATATCCCATCTTTCTTCCTCTCTGACATACAGAGCATACAGAGTTGTTACCAGCTACCTACAGGTCTATAAGGTGTGTAAGGTGTAGCTGCTGCTGGGCTGGGAGCAGGGGATTTGCCCAGTGGCTTAGCAGCACGATTGCAGACAGAAGCTGCCTCCAATGCAGTGGCAGAGCTTCTGTGCTTGAAAAAAAAAAAAAGCCCTTAAATTTACCATGAAAATAAAATAATAAAATATTATGCTTAATTCCAGAATTCAAGCAGAAGCCAACAGTGCTGTAAGTCTGCTATTACTTTTTTTGCTATGCTGTCCCAAACCATTTCCTGTTTGTTCTGTCATTGCTACATGGTTCCTCCAACCAGTCAGCCTTTACTGGACGGGATAATCTAACCAATTTAATAACTGACTTTGCCTCTGTGTGTCCCCATATGTGTACAACACAGTCTTGGGAAGGTAGGAGGAGGCGTTCAACAGCAATTACAATTGGAAAACAGTGGTGGGGGAGAAAAAGAACCCTGACACGGGGAGGACTCTGTAAAGGGCCAGTGTTTCCATCACTTTATCATAGCTAGCAAGTAAGGGACTGCCCAGCAGATTGACCCAGATGTGTAAAGGAATACACCTCCATCAAACTGGTTAGAACACGTGCTATGTTCTTTACATGGTTTTCTATTTTTGCACTGATTTTGTGCCTATAATTTGTCTTAAGAGGGATGTGGACAAGCAACACCTGTCCTTGAATGCAGTCTGCCAAAAAAAACCTATGCTTTTAAAAGTTTCTAGATTAATTTTATTGATAATGCAGCTTGTTTTACATCAGTAGGTTATGTTATTTAATATGATTTTGAACAGGTAGGTCAAGATTTGTAAAATTCAGTTTGGGACAAGGGAACAGCTGCATGGTTTCAATACTACTAAAATTAGGAATAGAGAAGGAAATATTCACTGAAAATGAAAATATGGCTGGCAGATGAGATCCACAAATGGCTTTCATACAGCAGTAGATGAGTTTGTGAATTAATTAAAAGCTAACAACAGAGCCTTCAAGGGTATCCCCCAGCTAAACAGTTACTTTCCTTCCTAAGGTGGCAATGCATAGGTGTGAGGCCCTTGCTCATGATATTCTGATTAATCCCATCTACTCAAAAGTAGTAACATTAGAAGGGGTATTACCAGCTTGGAAAATGTAAAGGTTCACAAGTCGCAGTTACTATACCCCAAATCAAATATTTACTTTTTGCTATCATAATTTGAGCCTGTCTTTTTGGTTTTGAACTCCTGGCATCTCTACTTCATGTGCAACATGAACACAGCAGCTGGCTTTGCTAAATTTATCAACAGTGCAAGTTTAGTTTCCAGGCCTGTAAACGGTAAGACACTTTCTCTTCCTACACTGGCAAATGGGACTAGCTTAGAATCACCAAATTTACAAGCAAAAGCACATGGGGATGTGCTTATCCCTGTGGGTTTTATAGCACCACCTCCATGCTCTGAGAGTGTGTTTTCTCCACTCAGTGCTTCCCTTTTCTCTCTGAGCATGTGTCTATATTATATAAAGTGCAAAAATTGCTTGCAGGTATGCTTGTTTACTATGGAGCACCAACTGCTTGCACGTGACGAGCCCTGGCTGCAGAGCTACCAGCATGGAGATCTGTGACCCATATTCAGGATCTGCATTCAGTTCCCTGCTCCAAACTGTGGGGAAAATAAATCTGAAGGCAAACACGTAATTGTTCAGAGGAATGCATCTAATCACAGATCTATCCAAATGACAAGGACTGAAATTATAATTCTCTAATAAAAACTCTTTCTACAGTGCAGGTTGAGGGTTAAACCTGACAGTAATTTACGCTTTTAATTACAAAGTGCCATCTGTTCACAAGAGGACAATTACAAACTCCTCACAGTGCCTCTGCCTACTCGATCTGTTGGGCAGAAATAATATGAGCAGCCAGTCAAATAACCCTTGTCTCTGACTGACTTTGTTCAGGATAAATGTCTTGAGCACGGCCTCTGATTCCAGCTCTTCAGGTGCAGTAGAGCACCTCGGGTCAACCTGCTGCACCTTCACTAATCTATACTGGTCAGCAGCCAAACGTAGAGATTTAACTAGCACTGCCTGATTTATTGCTGGAAATCTGTGAGTCTGCAGATGTAAAACACCGACGTGATGTGCTGCCAGTCAGTGATGAATGCTGAGCGGCGCAGGACTCCACTGGCTGCGGGCATTTTTCACTGCCTGAGCCCTTCCAGTGAATCTTGCTTGAGATTCACTCCTGGCAGCAGAGACTTGAACATCCATGTGGTCCAGTGAGTGGCATTGTACTGCATCGTTAGCACTGGCTAAGAGCCCCGTCCAGTGACGGGCACCCCAAATGACAAAGCGTCGGGGACACGCGGTGAAGCAGCTGATGGTGTGCTGAGGTGACACTTCTGATTCTCAGTGTTTTTTTTTCATCAGCGACCTGGGTGTTTCCTCCAGCCACGGAATATGTCATGTAGCATCACTGACTGGTTTGCAGTGCTCAGGATTAGTGGCACTGGAGCTACGTGATACGGTTATAACCCTGGTGGTGTGGGTTGTGCTGTGCAGTCAGTTAGGGTTACACTGCTGTCAGGCTGTATAGCCTGGACTGTGCTTGGAACCAGTGTCAAAACAGACTTGGTATATACGGATTAATATATTTTAGGAGGACAATCACAACCCTAGCAAGCCGTAAAGGCGGAACCAGCACCGCCCCCCGCACGCTGCGTACACAAACACACACATACACACACCCGCCGGGCGCAGGCGCACAAAATGGCGGCCCTCCCCCATGGCCACCACACCGCCCCCTGCACACGCCGGCCCCGCCCCCTCCACGCTGAGTGACAGCCCGGCGGCCCATTGGCGAGCCGAGGGGGGCGGGCCGAGCGGCGGCCGGCAGCCAGTCAGGCGGCGCGGCGCGGCGGCGGCGGCGGCAACATGAGCTTGTCCGTGAGGTGGGGGCGGCAGGGCGGGGGGCGGCGGGCGGAGGAGGGGGCACGGTCGCGGCCGGGCGGCGGGGGGCTGCGGGCGGTGGCGGCGGATCCTCGTTGTCAAACGAGGGGATAAACGGGGCGCTGGAGCCTCGCTCGCCTCCGTGGTGAGGCTGCGGGTTGTCTCCAGGGTGCCCGCTGGCACTCGTCGCCAGGGCGCCTGGAGGCTGGGGCAGCGGGAGTGGGGGGGTGGCAGCAAAATGGAGGGGATGGGGCGGTGCGGGGCCGCCTGGAGCAGCGCCCTTTGTGCGGTGCGTACACACCCCAGCAGGCAGGAGGGTCCTTTTTGCACAGGAGTTGAGCGATAATCCGCTTTCAGGCTTACAAAGGTGCCTGCTCGCCCTGCGCAGCCAGCCAAGGGCCACTGGGGCTGCGCAAAGCTGCGGTAATCCAGAGCCCGTCTGTGCTGTCCTGGGGGCTCTGAGGATGTGCCGGGTTCACCCTGTGCAGAATACAGCCTTGTCCACTTAGGGGATTTCTGTGGTACAGCCCCAGCTGTGCTTGAAACCTAAACCCCAGCTGCGCAGTGAAGCGCTGAGATTTGATTGAAGTTAGGTAGCCTTCTTCTTTTTCAGTAAAGGGGAAGTAAAAGCGGCTAGCTGCAGGATTTGGGAAACATATATGCCTGAAAAGCAATGTGCCATCCACACATGGTGTGGTTTAACCTGTCTGGCAGCTAAACACCACACAGCTGTTCACTCCTCCCTCTCTGGGATGGGGGAGAGAAACGGGAAAGTGAAGCCTGTGAGTGAAGATAAAGATGGTGTATTAAGACAGGAAAATAATAATAATGATGACAATAGTACTATTTGTAATAATGTGTATGAAACAAGTGATGCACAATGCAATTGCTCACCACCTGCTGACCGATGCCCAGCCTAACCCCGAGCAGTCCGGACCCCCACCTCAGCCTGCCACCCCTATATATTCCATACCATGACCCCATATGGTATGGGATATCCCTTTGGCCAGTTTGGGTCAGCTGTCCTGGGTCTGTCCCGTCCCAGCTCTTGCTGCACCCCAGCCTGCCTACTGGCAGGACAGAGTGAGAAGCTTGGCTTGGTGTAAGCACTGCTCTGCAACAATTAAAACATCAGCATGTTATCAGCACTCTTCTCATCCTAAGGCAAAACATAGCACCCTAGCAGCTACTAGGAAGAAAATTAACTCTGTCCTAACTGAAACCAGGATAACACACCAGTTATCTTCAAGCATCTTACGTGATGTGGCACCGCATGCATTTTTTCTCTGCTGCAGATGAATATATGATAGGTTTCTTCCTGAAAGCATGTAGAATTACACAATAACCAGATGGGAAAGGACTTCTGGGTGCCATCTAGTCCAGCTTTCTGCTCAGAGTAGATCTATCTCAAAGCTACAGGAGGTTGCTGAGTTTTTTTCTGGCTGGGTTTTGAATGTTTCTAGCAGTGGAGGTTGTTCAGCCTGTCATTGCTGCTCTTCCTGTATGTAACTATGAAACTTTTCCTGTAGATCCACTTGCAGCTTCACCTGTTGCAGTTTGTAGTTGTCTCTTGTCCTTTGGATGTGCACCTCTGAGGGGAGCCTGCCTCTGTCTTCTCCATCTAATCCTCTAGACAGTGAAGGACTGTAGTGGGTTTATTTGGCAAGGTTTTGGCAGCGGGGCGTGGCCTCTATGAGAAGAGCCCAGCAGCTGCCCCATGTAAGATAAGGGCCAGTTTCAGCCAGCTTCAAAGGGACCAGCACTGGCCAGAGCTGAGCCAGTAACTGATGTTTTTTGTGCCTTTGTGAGAGTAGATTTAGGAAAGGAAACAAAAACTGCTGGTTAGCAGCAGCTGGGAGAGTGAGAAGTGAGCACCAGCCCTGCAGCCCCCAGGTGAGTGCAGCAGGAGGGCAGGAGGTGCTGCAGGCAGGCAGCAGCAGTTCCCCTGCGGGCTGTGCAGGGAGAGGCCCCTGGTGGAGCAGGCTGTCCCCCTGCAGCCCATGGGTCCCCCATGGAGCAGATCTCCACGCTGCAGCCCCCCCATGGGTGGAGGAGCCCCCGGTGGAGCAGGTGGATGTGGCCTGGAGGAGGCTGCGGCCCATGGAGAGCCCCCGCAGGAGCAGGCCCCGGGCCGGAGCTGCAGCCCGTGGAGAGGAGCCCCCGCAGGAGCAGGGGGTCTGGGGGGAGCTGCCGCCCACCCGTGGGGGACCCGCCCTGAGTCTGTTTTGCCCATGACAACAACTGTTGAGTGATCTTCCTGTCCTTATCTCAACCCTTGAGCCCTTTGCATCGTATTTTCTTGCCCTCTTGCTTTCAGGAGGGGGACTGAGAGAGTGGTAGTGGCTGTGTTGGAGCTCAGCTGCCCAGCTGTGTAAAACCACCGCAAGGACAACACAGATGCCATGTCTGTGGCCCTTCCCCACCTGCTCCTTCTGCCCTCATCACTTGGGTCAGAACAAACTTGGCTCCTTCAGCTTCTCCTGTATCAGGTGCTGCAGCCACCGAGGCGTTGATCACGGTCTGCCTTAGAGTACAGAAAATGGATAAAGCCTCTGCTGTACTGGGGCACCCCCAGCTGGATGCAGTACTTCAAGTGTGGCCTCGTGATTGCGGAGTGGAGGGAATTACCACTGCAGTTAGTTGAGTTTTTTGACAGGGTGATCTGCTGCTGAGCTTGGTACATACCTGATGCTTCCAAGAGCGAGCTTTCAGCCTTCGGAGAGTTCTAGCTGGTATCACCTGTTACCTCGATCGAGTGCACAACTGCTCTTAGACTTCTTGCTCTGAGGCAGAGTCTTATTTCTAGGCCAGCAAAGAAAAAAAGATTTATCTTTGAGTAATATTTGCTGATCTGGGGGACTTGAGCCTTTTATATGCAACAGAAGCAGATCAAAAAAGTTTTCAGATTAGTGTATCTATGATAATAAAGGATTAAAAAAAAAAGTAATTCCTAAGTGCCAAGTATCTTTGGAATGTTTCTGAGAAAACAACAACAACAACAAAGATTTGTGGCACACAACACCCACTGTAGCAGCTGGACATGAAGTTAAAGCTGTAGCTGCATCTGTGCTTCAAAACTCTTTCAGATAGTTTAGAAATAAGGTGTTTTCAGGAGTTGTGTCATCTCAGCTGCTAACCTAGTTTGTAATGTCAAGCATTCTTTTCAACAGGTAGTTTTCCGTACACTTCTTGATTGTTTGCTATTTATCAAATCACCTCTGCTGATTTTGTTTTGGGTGGGGGAGTAGCAGTGCTATTCAACCTGCACAAAGGGATTGTCTGTTTTGGGTGTTATTTTATATTCGGAGGAGACAAGCTGGAGAGATGTCGGGTGGGGATGGTAATGATCTGTGCCATTATGGTGAGTTTTTTATTGGTGGAAAACATTATCTATAGTGGTATCAGTAATCAGTTACACTGAATTTCTCTCTTCTTGTATAGGAATGAGCTTTCAGTGGACAAAATGAAAAAGAAGAAAAGAAGAGAACTAACTGAGGAACAGAAACAAGAAATTAAAGATGCCTTTGAGTTGTTTGATACAGACAAAGATAGAGCAATAAATTACCACGAATTGAAGGTATTTTTTTTTTCATTTAATTAATTTTAGGACAGGCAATATATATCTTCTTCTAAGTGAGTTTTTATGATGGCAGCTGCATCTTTAACAATGCTCCATGTGTTTCATCTCCTGCCAGGCTGAAGGAGTGGAGATATTCAAAAAAGAAATTGCAAATATTGCATTGATGTTTGCATGGATGTAAGATTGAGCTTTTTTCCTCTCATTGTACACAGTGCAGTCACGGAATTGGCTCTAGCATTCTGCATAACAGAGATCTGAATGCTCCCCAGGTGCAGCTTGGGCAGGCGAGTAAGTGGGAAAACAGCTCCTGAAAAGCTGTCTTGTAGTGCCTTTTACAGGCACTATATAATGTAATGCTTGGTGTTGTGAAAATCTACAGGTTTTAAAAACTGAGCTAGAAGATGTAAGTCACGTTTATAAAGCTGCTGACCAGAAACCAGAGCTTACCCACTGTGCATTTTTCAGCAGGGAGCCTATGGTCTGTAGGAATGAGGTGTGCTTTTTGCTGTGCTTATGGGAGGGAATCTGTAGTTTTTCTCTCCTGTTACTAGCTGTCAGCAGATGGAGGTTGGGATGGCAGTCCTTGTTCCTAGCGAGTCCTCCTGTCTCAGGAAGCATTGTATTAGTTTATTAAAGGCTCTTTAAGCCTTTTATTAATTGCTATTCTAATTTTACTGGCTTGGGGAGGCTAGTGTTCCTGCGATAGGTACAGTAAGATTGTTTGGGGAAGAAATGCCTAATCCAAGCTGCTTGTTCCACAGTCTTGCTTTATCTCAAGAAAGCAGTAAAAATATTTTCTATTTTAACTTTATTCCAGAGTTTGGGTATTTTGTCTCTGCTGAAAGCTGCGAATAGGGTACCACTAGGGACTGTTGGTACAGTTTGTCCTGTTCCCAGCTGTCTGACTGGAAATATATTTATTAGCTGTCTAATGAAATATGGTACCCCTGAATTTAGTGCTGTTGAAGAACAGAAAGGTATGGAGTAAAGAAATATCTCCTTCTCTACAAAGTCAGTGTGTAGCATAGGGTTTGAAAGGCTATATTGAACAGGATTGTGGCTTTCTATTTCTGGTTCAGTGTTATGTTCATATGTTTGAATGCAGTCAAGGCGGTGTGTGCTGAGGATTGCCATCTCTGTTGAAATGTGGAAACTAAGCATGTATCCCTAACCTAATGGAAAAATAAGTGTTATTGGTTTATGTGGTTGTAGTTACACTGGTATTGGTGGAAAAGCGGTAAATTGAGTCTCTTGTAAGATGACTTGTAAACTTAGACATGTTCAGTAATTTAAAGAACGCTTTTCAATTTAATCTTGGAAAAGGGCACAGTACTTGAAACTTTTTTGGAAAGTCAGGAAAGAAGTCTTCCACTTATAACCTGATGTTTTATGTGTTAATGTTAATTTTAGGTGATATGTTTATACAAAGCATTTTTTGTTTTTATTTTATTTATTATTGTTGCTAACCCACTGATACGCATAGTCAGTCCTGGACAATAAGGTGCTTGTTAAAAGCAAGAAACTTTTAAAATCTGTAGTTTAATATTCATATTTGGTTGCACTTCCATTTTCTTCCAAAAGGTGGCAATGAGAGCCTTGGGTTTTGATGTGAAAAAAGCTGATGTACTGAAAATACTTAAAGATTATGATCGAGAAGCAACAGGCAAGATCACTTTTGAAGATTTTAATGAAGTTGGTATGTATTTGATTTTATACCTGTAGAAGACTACCTTCAGAGGAACTTAGCTTACAGTAGAGACTGGAGTTTGGGCAGAGTACTTTGTGTGCATTTTCAGTAACTGGGAAATAGAGGAGGGAGACTGAATTTCATATTTTTATTCAGAAACATGAACAATGAAGGAAAGTAACTTGTTGTATATTGAATGGTCAGCTGATAAATGGAGATGAATACATGTTACAGCAGTGTAAAAGGAAACAGGCTACACATATTCCTTATCTGTATAAAACTTCTACAAAGGAATAGCCCCTAACTTGAGAGGTAGATGTTTTTGTGTTTATTGATTTTTGTAGGACTCTCCTTCCCGCTTGGAAAAAGTAGTTGGCACTGGTTTTCATTGGAAGGAGTGTACACAGAGACAAACTGTGAACTGAATACAGATTTCATATAAAACAGAGATAAGAGAAGTTGAAGCAGATGCTAAGTATTGTACATCAAGGATTTTCAGCTGCTGATAAAAACAGTGAATTTCATTAGGCAGCTTCTTTCATCTGAAGAGTGTGTGTTTTGCATAGTTATACATACTTTGTATATGGAGTGATCTGCAGAATTAAAAAAATGAGGGATTACGTTTCCTTGAGGATTTTTAGATTGTTAGACGTAAATTGTACTTTTGTATACAATTCATATTTACCAAAAATATAAACTGGGATCCCTTCATATATATGCTACAGCTTTATATCTCTATTTCATGATTCCACTCCATGTGTTCAGGGTATTAAATTACATAAGGTTTCTGAAAATAAACTACCACCATAGTACTGTTTTTGGATACAAATAACTATCTGCTTGGTAATGGTGAAACAATTACTGTTATAAATGTGGTGACCCTTAGAGATTTTATAGGTTAGGATTGGAGAAAATGTGTTGTTAATGACACATAATATTTTTTCCTTAGCCATATTCCAAGTTAGAGCAAATTCTGAGTCAGAAGAAAATTGAAGTCTGTGGGGGAATAGAATTGATCAGTCCTTATTAAAAAATAAAAATTAAAAAAAAATGATATAATACTAGATCCTAATGTTCAGTTCTGTCACAGCCAGGACCAATACAAGGTAGGCAGTCAAAAGTGCTGTGAGAAGCTAGGAAAAGTCATGTAGAAAGCACAACATGCACCAGGAAGGCAATTGCACCAATCCAAAAACTTGAATCTGATTTGAATGGAGTTATAACATGATATGTCCTTGTCACAGAGTTGAACTTGATGCCAGTTGTGGCAGAAGGATCAGGGGGTTGGAGAAAATAGGTTATAGAAACTATTATTCTGAAGAGCTGGCTGAATATAGTTTTTAAAAAAATGTTGAGCCATCAGTTTTGCATAATTATAATCTGTGTTTTAAATGTTGGAACTGACCATCTGAAATGTATAAAGATACAATTGTATTTTGTCTTGTTCTGTACAGACATTTGACCTATGATATTTAGAGACATAGTGTTTTATTGTTCTTCAGCTAGTGTTGCAGTTGCCTTTCTGCCAGAAAAAGTAGGATTTATCAAATGATGTAGTGCTGCTATGCAAAGTAGTTTTAGATAAAAATATTTTAATAAAAATCTGAGAGATTTTTATATGCATTTTAGTATACATTATATAAATAAATACCTAAATGTATAAATATAGAGATATATGAAAATAAGAAAACCTCATTACTATAGCGAGCTTATCTAAGCTTGAATCTAATAGTTTAATTTCAAGTTCACTGAGCCAGAGGAGGCAATCCATCTGCAAACAGTAGCAGATGCTAAGTGCTTCTCTTTGCACAAATGAGGATGGTGTATCTTTAATGACTTTGTAAAAGTCTTAGTAAGTCCTGTAGTACAAGACTAGCAGGTACGAAGATGTGAAGGTATTGCAGAAATGTCTGAAATAATTACAAGCAAAATATTTTTTGTAAAACAAGCTAGTTTGCCTGTTTTCTCTGTTGCAGAAGCTAACAAATGCATTTGGTAAAAGGAATAACCAAGACTGGTGAATTCTTTCAAAATGAATATCCTGCAGCTCGTAGTTGTGTCCTTTTCATAACCCTTGGGCTCTGGTTTTGTTGTTGGGATTGCTTTTTTCTTTTTTGGGGGGGCACTTTTGTATCTAAAAGAGAAGTTCCATGTGAATGTTATTCATTACTTAGTGTTGTTGCAGTGTTCTCCCCAAGTCAAAACTGTGTCCAGATCATAACATTTAAAATCAACAAATTAAAATATCTGTGTCTGTCATAGCTGATGTTTTTTTTTTTTTTTCTGAAGTGCAAGCTTGGAACAGAGAAGGCACATGTATATTTTCAATTTATATAGGAAAGTCTATTGAAAGCACGAGTGTGTCTAAACTACCGTGTAGTTTTCCCCTGTAACTGGTGTATGCCAAAGAGAAAGTCAACTTATGAGAAGAGTTGACAAAGGTCAGATAGCTGGCAAGCAATTTATGCATATGAATTGGAATAGGTTAAAAATGGAAGAATAGATAAAATCTGAAATAGACTGAGGTGATAGGAAGAATGTGTGTTTGTCATTCTGAATCTTTTAGTCTAATTTCAGTATCCTTCCTACAGTGACAGACTGGATATTGGACAGAGATCCACATGAAGAAATACTCAAGGCATTCAAATTGTTCGATGATGATGACTCTGGTAAAATAAGTCTGAGAAACCTGCGTCGGGTTGCTAGAGAACTGGGTGAAAATATGTCCGATGAAGAACTACGGGCTATGATTGAAGAATTTGATAAAGATGGAGATGGAGAAAGTAAGTATGAAGAGTTAAAATCCCATATAGTTCATTCTTAATCTTCTCCCCTTTTAAAATATTGTATTAACTTGAAAATGCCTGAAATTTTAACGTTGTCATCTTTTTCTTTTTTTAAAAAAAAAACAAACTCTCAGCTCAGCCTTGATTTTGCTTACATAAAAGAGAAATAGTTTTTGATACCTACTAGCCCTGGAAATGCGTGGTGGAGTCTAAAAACCAAATTGATTTCTCACCCTCAAATTCATCACAGCTCTTAATCAACCAATGCTTATTAAAAGATTTGTTAAAGTTTAGCTGAAAGCAGAAGTAACTGAATTGGTACATGGAAGAGTCCTTGTACTACATTACATTCTTATTTCTGTATGAATCAGTAGGAGTAAGAATCAGTAACCCTCTTACTGATTCATTAATGTAGTCATTAATGTAGTACAAAGTGCTAAGAGGACTTCTTTTGATCTTCTAGTCCAGTGTTTCTTAAGTGGTAATGTGTCATTGTTGTGATTTCAGCCTGTTAGTGTAATAATCTGTATCTGACTAATAAATCATGCTGGACTTAACCCTGGGTCCAAGCAACATCAGCTGGGATGAGTCTCTAATGTGCTTCTGGACTCAGGGGTGCTGAAGAACTCGGTGTGAAAAATTGCTCAGGGCAATCAACAAGGTCTATACAGAGTGGGCTGCAGAGGAGGCTTATTAGCTGGATAAAGAATGAAATAACAAATCTAACTTGATGCTATGCTCATTAAATCTTCCTAAGCACTTCAGCTTAACGGTGGTGTCTTCCCCCGCCTCCTTCCCCTTAAGTTAAACCTTCACATTCACACCTGAAACCTTAACACATGGATTTCAGGAGCCACTCACTTCAGACAGTCAACACAGATGCTGCATGTCAAAGAATCACAGAAACCTACTTCTGAGGTTTTTGTTTCTTTCTTTTCTTTTTTCTTTTTGGCCATTCTCATCTGCGATTTCAGTAGCAGTTCATCACCTTTTTCAGATGCAGTAACATTTCTATTTGTCAGCAACAACATCTGTTGGATTCAAAACTCCAACAGTGGGGGAAAAACAACGCATTGCTGTCAGCCCTGACAGACATTTTTCTCTGTTCTGCTTGTGGTAGATGTATGCTCCAGTGTGGAATAACAACTACGAGTTTGTCAGCTGCTGGCCTGTGCTTGTTTGCAGTTACTCAAGTACCGAAACAGTCAGACGGTTTTCTTTCAAGAGGAAAAACAGGACATTCAGACAAGATAGGTGCTGTGGAAATGCAAACTTTGTGTCAGTGTAGTGGTGAAAACAGGGAGCCTGAAGGCAAAGATAGCTGAAGCTCTCTGTTTTAATTGCCATTAGAGTGTTATTGTTGACACTGTTACTACAAGAGTATTGCATAGTTGAGAAAACTTTTCTTTCCTTTTGGAAATACTGTCTTCTGGTATCTCTCTGTTTTCTGAGGCCCTGGTTCCCTAATAAATCCACACTGCGTAATTCTGGTGTTCCTCCACACTGCCAGGTGTGTCCTCCACACATTTCTTGCATTGGTATCTGTTTCAGTAACTGCATAGCAAGCCATCTGCCCAGACTAGCTGTTTGTTATATGCTTTATTTTGAGCTTGTTTTATTTTTTAAAAGGAATAGTTATAACAGCATTGCATTGCCTGTATTACCTTTTGTTTATTTCTCTAAAGACTCATATTAGTTTTATTTGAAGGAGTAGCTGTAGAGGTGAGAGCAAGTAGAAAACATCAGTCCACATGCACATTTTGTTCTTTGTTTCTCTCCTGGAGTTACCAGTGGAGACACCTGAATCAGGATCACTGACGGTCTTTGACTACAAGCTAATATAGACCTGTAGCTCCTTTTAGGAAGGGCATAATTGTGAGAAACACTCCGTAGCCAATAACTTAGGCTCAGGTGAGGATCTCAGTGAAGCAGCAGTTTACTGGCGATTGCAACGGCGGGCACCCCACAAGCAGGAGAGCGCACCAACTAGTTCCAAAATGCAGTTCACATGTATATCCTTTTTGATGACAGGACCCTCCCCTGTCATCATTTTCCTTATTTATCTATTATTTTTCTTTCTTAGAGTAGTCTAGCACAAGATTGGATATGAAAGACCGGCAGCATAATGTTTGTATGTGGTACTGTTTATCCATAATGTTCTGTGTTTTCTGTCCTTTAAAGAAAACTGATGCTGCTTCTAGCTTTGAAGATTCATTCTGAAAAAGTAAATAATCCCGTGAGTCACTGTTCTGTTCAGTTTCAAACATCTGGGTCATGTAACAAAATTTCACTGTCATCTAGTTCTCCTTCTTTTCCTGCCAAGGAAAACAAATCTGAAAGTATTAGTTGGTAGCATTTTTAATTGATGCCTTAAATACAGGAATAATACCACTTGTGGTTAAACGCTCTTGTTACATTTGAAAGATTGTTTTGTTCACAGTGAAATAAGGTCTGTTATGTGATATCCAGGCTGCTTGAACCTTAGTCTTTGTAGTGAAACTACTGAGCTGTGCTGGTACACTCTGACAAACTTGCTGCTGAAGTATTCTCGACATATTTACATCTGTCTTAAAAAGGTAAATCATCTTATTTTCATACAGCTGGTCTTAGGAGTGACTCCTGTTTTGGAGTATGGCTGTTTTTAGAAACTCCGTGCTGTCAGTTCGTGCAGTTTTTGTCCTGTGTGGATGCATCTATAGGAAACATAATCCAGTGTTGGGTCTTAGATTCTGGCAGAAAATTGTGGAGAGGTGGGGAAAAAAAAAGCTCCACTGAATTAATATGCTTTCTTACCTCTCCAAGACAACGTTTTCTTCATATTAACTGTAATAATGCTTACTTTATGATGATGTATGTAGTGGAAATGAATGAAATCTGAGACTAGGGAAGACTGTGATTGCTTCTCATTTCATTGTGACTAACTTGTGAACAGATCCCGAGTCTGAGGAGGATTACCTGGGTTACTGGGAATTGTTACCACATTTCTCTTTGCAGTTTGTTTGGATGTTGGAAAAATTGTTTATCATTATAATATTGTATTTCCACTTAGCAACATTATTGAACAAAGATGTTTTGAATCAGAGAATATTTTGGTAGGGATGTTTGCATTTGTGGTTCTTATAACTTCCTTTGGCTTCCAGTTTTGGGATGTGTGCAGTATTGAAACTGGCTACGGAATATTTCTGGAATAGTCTTCAGAAATTGTATCACAAACACCTGGGTAGAGGTTGTGTCAGAAGGAGGTAGGTTAGTATGAATACCATAAGCATATGTAATTTTTTTTTAATTACTTTTGTTTTGTTTCTTGTTAAACAGCAGTCAGTCTCAGCACAGTACTTCTGGGGAGAAAATGTTATTCCCCTCTGCCTTTTTGACCTTTTCTTTCTGTATTTTTCAGTAGTCCATCACATAACCAGGCAACACATGAAAGACTCTCCAACTTATTCATCCATCATTTTGTCAGTGTACTGGGGGGAAAAAAAAGAAAAAAAAAATCCTCAGTACGTTGAGGAAATGCATTCTGTTCCTCTTCTGCAGAGCTGTTCAGCCATTCTCATAAGCACAGTATTTCCATAATCCCATAGCAGAAACAATTGATTCCAAAAAATACAGCAAATAATTTGCCTGTATGAGGTGAAAATTCAGTCAAGACGTGAATATTGGTTGTTCAATCTACTTGATAATACCAGGGCTGTGTTTGTTCTGTGCAGCCCTTGATGCTGGTACATCCTCGGCTGCAGGAAATGGACGTGAACCACCCATCCAGGGAGCTGGGCATTGTGTGCCCTGAACAGCAAGTCTGTGTAATTACTGTGGGAAAATATTTTCAAATCTAATAGATAGAATTAAAAATCTAATCCACTACTTCTATTTCTCTTGTGCAACAAAACACAAGGGTCTTGTATTTTGGATTTTTTTTTTAAAGTTCAGTGCTTAGTGTCCTACGTGCAGGCTTATGGCTGAAGAGGTAAAAATAATGTAATATGTAGTTCCAGCTTTTGCCTCTTTTTCTGTGTCTAATGTTTGCCCTCTGGTCGGTAATGTCCTGGAACAGTACCATAGAAATAGAATAATTTGACATGCATTTAGGGCTTCATATTGGACTGACAAGCTGATGTGCCTGCAGGCTTGCCTACAAAGGAAGGAATTTGTATCATGCTGCAGTGAGCATTTGGACTGTAGGGGGTATGCCGTAGGTCCTGGAGAAAGACAGACCTCTAAAATCAGTTGTGGTCTTTCTGGATGCTGTAACTTTTTCAGACCATGAAGGTAGGTAAGCACTGGAGCCTTGGAGATGTTTCAGAGCCTGAACATCCTGATTTAGATAGGCTGCTTTGAGCAAGGGATTGGGCTGTGATTTTAGTGTTCAGTAACTCAAAAGGTATTTAGAATTCGTAAGAGTAATTAATTTCTCAACACAGAATTATGAATTTGTTATCTTTTAATAGATTTAGTGTATTTGTAGAAATTGATTGTCTAAGTGAATTAGAGGAAATTCAGAGCTTACTCCTTGTTAATTGCTGACAAAGATACATAATTTACTTTGTATGTAGCGAGGGGAAATGCAAGCCATTTAATTCAGAGCCTTGCATAAGGTTCACCAAAGACTAGGGAAGAGTCTTCAGAAGCAACAGTAGAAGAGAATAGGTGCAAAATGTCGGGGCGTAGTCTGAGCCCACGCTAACTACTCGTCCCTCTTCTGACATCTTGACTACTTGGAGAACAACCAACGGCTTCGCATTACTAACTGCAATTTTATACTAATAATTTTGCCTGATCTGTGAAGTTGACCATAGCCTACTTCATTTTCATCTTTAAAATCTTAGTAGCTTTGCCAGATGTTTGAATCATACTTTTCCAATTGTTAAGTTTTAGGGAGTAGCTAGATTTCTGTGGTCATCAGCCAGATGTGTGTGTGGTTCCATCTAATTTCTGTTCTTACAACTAACCTGATTAAGTTTCATCTCAAAATTCCTGCTTAATGTGGCTTACTGAAAAGCTTCTTTGGACTCCAGATATGTTCTTCAGATAACTGCTGTTGGGAAAGGTCATGTATATTGAGACTATTGCTCTCTTCATCAAGTAAACAGTGAAACTGGAAATTATCTTAAATAAGATAACCTGTAAGTATTTTTTAAAGCAACTTATTGGCTTCAATGTCTACTCTCTTTTCATTTTTGTAACTTAAAGCAATTTCAGAGGCTTAACAAGGGAAAGGAATATGTTGCCTGTTGACCAGTATAACTAAATCATATGGCACTTGTTTTATATGCATAAAAGCTTTAATTGATAATTCCAAACCCATATTTTTGTGATTTTCAGTGTAACTGACCAAGAATCAGAACTATTGCTGAATGTAAAGCATTTTAGTAGAGCCAAAACCGACCCAAACTCATCTGTTCTGTTTTCTTAAAACTGTTCTTTGTTCCTTATTCTGCCCTTCAACCTTCACTTTCTACGAATGAATCGATAAATATTCATACACGTAAATATCCTGTATGTGTTTCATAATCATCCACCCTCTCCTCTTATCCATATTCTTAATTATTTCAGCATCTGCTCCAAATATATTCCCCTTTTAAATAGCTAGAACTGTTTCTCAGCTCTTTCACACCTTCTCAGTATCTGTTTTGTAATATAAACCATTAAAATGACAATGATTAGTATCAAATCATTGCTAGCCACTACATTCTAAGAACAAAAATGCATTGACACATAATTAAGGTGGAAAAGACATACCAATACATAAAAGAGAACTTGCAGAAATGTTGTAATCATCTGAACTCAACACATGATAAATGTATCAAGTATAGAAATATATGGTTATATTTGAAGATATTAATGAGGTAAAGTTGTAGAAATGCTTTTTAACATCACACAGACAACGTTGTTCTTATGTGTAGTAGAATCCGGTGACTGACTAACATTTCAGGATGTATGGTCCTCAACTAGATTAAAATAACTTGTCTCTTATTTTTTAAAATGTGTTGCAAGAGGGCAGATTTATTTTATTTTATTTTTTAATATATTTTTAACGTAGTTAATTTGCTTTGCTTTCTTCCGGCTTTAAATGTAACTCATGCTTTGCAATACTTTGTTTAGGAATAACTTGGGTACGCTGGCTGGGGTAGATAATTGTCGGGGAAAATTTGTCATACGTGTCTGGTCTCTTCGTTTCACTGAGTTACTCTAATCATTCCCCAGCACAGTAATTAGTTGCAGAGTGAACATGTTCATTGGCTAACTCTTCTACAGTGCCTCTGTTTTAACATATGAGTAAGGTCAATAGCTCAGGTATAAGTGCAGCAAAATAATTAATGACTGCTAATTAATTTATTATTATGACTTAATTTCTTCGAGTACATTTGTGTAAAATTTCAGTTAATTATAACTGTAAAATGAAGAAAGTTCAGATGGGGGAAGAGCTTGTCAAAAGTCCTTTTTAATTCTAGCTAATTTATTGAATCATTAGTAAATTATCTTAAAATTCATTTTGTATTTTGGCAAGTGTTACAGGTTTGGCAGAGAGGAAAATGATGGTGTGGGTGTGTTGTTTTTTTTTGTTTTTTTGAGGGAGGAGGAACACAAAGGTCTGAATGATGACTTGAAGAATAAAACAGAATTTGATCATAACTGAAACTGCTGCATTGTTACTTGAGAAGCATGTGTTTAATACGTTTTATTTACCGTGTTTAACATTTTAATATATGTTAAAGTCATAAAGTGGCATGTTTTTGCTTAGCCATCTTTTTAAATACTTTTCTAATATTTTTGTTTTTTTAGAATATTTTTACTTTCAGCATTAGAAATAGTATCTTGTTATATAAAAGCTAGATTCTGGCTTAAGTATCACACATAATTAAGATTGCATTCTGACTTTACCCTTTTACATGCAAAAGAAAAAAAAAAAGTGAAAACTCTGTTCTAAATGGAAAAAAAAATCATGTATAAAGCGTGGTTAGCAATCTGTCAGACCCAACAAATACTAAGTTGGAAACCTGCAGAGAAAAGCATAATACAGATACACACATTATTTTCTCTTTTGTTTTATGGATATTTGCTGTTTGTCTAATATTTTTCTTTTTTTTTTTTTCTATAGTCAATCAAGAAGAGTTCATTGCTATTATGACTGGAGACGTTTAACATCAGAAAAGAAGACATGAATTCGTGGCAAAAGGGATGAATTAGTGACATCTGCCATTCCAATATTTTCTACTTTGTTTCTGTAGAGTCATGTAGAAGATTACTTTCCTCACTGATCGAAATAACACAGGCTTTATATGCTGGTACTTCGGTACTTTTTACAATTAAATATTGTCACTCAAATAATTGATACAGCATATTAGAAGAAGTAAAACTACATTTCAGAATGTTTGAGTACTCACTTGTAAAATAGCTTTGTATAAGATTTCTAAATTATATTGTCTTGTAAGAAGCGTTTGAAGTTAACTTTGTGTTATGATTAGCTATGGCCTTAGTTTTGATACATAAGGTTTGACAAGCTTCCATTTTAATAAAATATTCTTTACTATTGCAACTTGAAAGTCTTTGTTTTTATTTTATTTGAGCCAAGCAATAATTTAAAATCCTTCAAACAAAATGTGTGTTGTTTTTTTCCATTTATAGATTTTTATTTCTGTTCTAGATGAATGGTTACGTTAAATGAGCAATCATTTCCACCTTTATGATGGCAGAGGGCATGCAACTATGCATGGTGATACACACTGTAGCAAAAATGTGCGTAAGTCATGCAGATGACAACCAGTGGCTCTATTTTTCAGTAGGTACACCTCTGATACCTGTGGAAACAGTGGCAATTGTTTATGATGTGTGGATGCTCTTTCTGCAGTATCTAGTTGGGACAAAAGCATTGTAGGGAATGAATTTTTCAAGTAGTTAGAAAGACTGGGTATATTTCTGGCTTACCAGGTGTCTTCCAGATTGATATATCAGATTGGTATTCTGCATTTCCTGCCTGTTGGTTATAGTTTCTGCCTCTTAAATTTCAAATTTCTATCAAGAATTTGCTTGTCTTGCTTAATCCTGTTATTACCTTTCCTGTCAGAAGAAAAATCTCTTTAAACTCAATAATCCTGGGTTTATCAATAAGTGTGCCCTGCACAAACACACGGAGCTTGCAGTTTACTGGGGACAAAGGTTACACAGTCATCAAAGTTGATAGATTTTTTCCTTTTACATTTTCAAGTGTGTGTTATAAAATAATTATGTATGAAATACTGTGGTGTTCTCTATTAAAACAACAATATCAACACAGTCACACAGAAAGTTACAACAATGTGAACCGTCTGGCAGTGGCTCCATGTCGCTGATCAAGGAATATGAATAGACACCTCACGTGGGGCAGAGGACCATCAGCTGGGATTTCCAGCCTGGGCTGCTCTTAGAGAGGTCTTAAAAGCAGACTTTGCTAGTAAGGGACATTATTTTTGTTTAAGTATTTCCATTTTGACCATAGCAAAGTGAATTATGAAAATGTAATTGGGGGAAAAATGGTAGGGATAATATTAACAGGAGATTACTGGGAGTGAGGGAGTATGGGGCTGATACTCACCAGGAAGTCGTGGTCATCTTCACGTTCAGTTAATGTCCCATAATTAAAGTTTGAGTAAAACTCCCTCTGCAGTGTATTGGAAATTGGTTTGTGTAAGCAGGAACTTGCTCAAGCAGTAGACAGCAGGAAATATTTTCAGGATGAAGACTGGTGTTTAAGGGGGGAGAAAGGTTACTACATATAGTATGGACATACTTTTATATAGATTTCAATAAGGAAAATAAGGAAAGGGTAAAAACAAGTTGAAGGATTCTACCATAGAAGAGAAAGTCTTGCTTGGGAGCAAGTACTACAAACCTCTTTTAATGTCACTTCACATGCTTTGGAATACAATAGCAAAACCAACACTACAAAACCCTATAACTTCTTTAAAACAACAAACAAACAAATAAGCCTACCATTAAAAAAAAAAAAAAGCAAAGCAAAAAACAACCAACCTTTAACCAATATTTTGCATTCTTAGCAGATTAGTTTGAGAAGGGAATTATTCAAGGGCAGAAATTTGATGTTTGGGAATGAACTGCTCTTAACTATTTTCTAGGAACAATACAAATACTGTGTTCTTCAGTATTTCCTAGCTTTGCTTTTAACATACAAACAATTCTGGGGACATTTTTATTTTCAGCAGACAGTGAGAGTGATAGAAAACTTAAAATGGTCCCTTAGCAGTCATCAAAAAACAATTCTTCACTGAGTATCGTACCCTTATTTTGAATGTTCTAGTTTTCTAATACTCCATTGTGGCTGTTAAATGACTTTTGGATGGTTTTTATGGGGACATTACTGCTCTGTTCCTCAGAAGATGGCTGGTAATTACTTCTTGATAGGTATTGCTTCTGGTTTGTAACTGGTTCAGTAAGATGTGCTTTTTCTCTTCTGGATTGAGGCCTTGTTCCACAGCATGCTTAAGCCATCAGAAGTCGGACAATGCCAACGTTCAGGGCACATTTGAAGGAGAAGTTGCAGCCAAAGAGGAGGAGGGCCTGTGGGTCCCTGCTGGCATCTTTGTCCCTGGGCATAGCTCGTGGGGACCTTTTGCACTCCGGCTGCAGCCCAGGAAAGCATTTACCTTGAGATGGACACCGCACTGGCCAAGTGTGGTTGTGGCGTGAAGCTGTGCGGGCAAATCCTTCCATTTTCAACCTTTTGTCTTAAGTTTTGCAGGGTGTGTGCAGTTCTGGGATGTCACAGCTTGCTAAACCATTAAAGGTGGCAGAGGCTTTTGTCACAAATCATACAAGAGGAGAAGCTAAGGACGGTTGTGCTGAGTGACTGCAGTGGAAGGTTTCACTCCCCCCAGATTGCTTGTAGCTGCGCGTAACCACTCACATCGTTGGAGGTTTTTGTGTACTCAGATCTGATGGATGCACTGCTCACATACCCAGGCCTTTTTAATTTCGCACACATGTGTCAAGTTGGGCTCTGCTGTTAATTAAGCAAGGGTTGTGAATGCAGCTCGCCGTGCTGCACGCACAGCCCTATCTGAAGTGAGAGCCACGTCTTTCTTTGACGTGCTCATTAGGTCAAGAGTTTACAGAAGATGGTGCCTGGCACCAGCAAAACTTTTGTGGAAGTCATTTTCTGTAGCACTCTCGCAGAGAGATAATTGCCACTGAAGTGAGTCCACAGGGATGCTGGGAGTGTTTTCATCACAGAGAAGTGATTCCACAGAGATAAGAGGTCAATGTTTTGGGCTCTTCTCCCTTCCCTGCACTGCACAGAGGGAAAATCTGTGCAAACCCATGCGGGCAGTCCCGCTAATAAGCAAGAAGCCAGAAGAAATACCATAAACATCTAGAGATCTGCAAGTATCTTACTCTTCTGGTAGCACAAGTGGTTCACCTGCTGTAAAACTGTTGCTAAGCAAACTGAATGTGTTGGCAATTACCAGCCGTCAGAAGTGATAGCTCTCAATATATAATAAGTGGAAGCTCTCCATATGTAGGTCTTTTTTTGAAATGCCACACGAATGTTGGCCAGTGGAGGTTGTGTTTGTCACATATGCCCTTACTCATTTGAAAACCGCTTCGCTTTTAAACGAATACTTAAAGGAAGTCTAAACAAATAAAGAGATTTAAAGAAGGAATTCCTTCAGACATTCCTCCTACAGGAATATGGAATGGACTTAGTGGGAAATGACTGCTTTACTAATAATTATGAGTAGAGACCTGTTTCCAGCCAGGTAGTACCTGGAATGTTTTTCAGAAAATGTTCTAACCATTTGGATAAACATCTTTTATTGCAAAGGTTAATTGCAAATGCGTTATCTTCATGTAAGTTCGTAAATTTCTGAAAGGGTCTTTCCACATTTCTGACTGTTTCTGAGGGAGTAACCTTGAAATTTAACTAACAATAAAACCCAACTTACTGGTCGTGAATAGAATGTGGACATTTTGTGCTGGCAGAAACTTGGAGGAATTTACACCAGATTCTGCAACCTTCTTTACTTGGATGGGTGTCTCAGGTGTTGGAAGGACTGGCTCCTAGCCTGCTCCAGGGGGCAGAGGAGATGCAACACAGCATCTGTCCCTGTTGTAAATTAAAATTTAGGATAAGAAAGAACTGTCTTAGAAAGCAGCTACATGTTGAAAAAGGAGCTGTGCAAGCTCATATAACAAACAGGTCTATTTAACCCAGTTATGATGGAAAATGAAAGAAATAATCCCTTGGGCTCTCTTGTTTATTGAAAGACAGAGCTACAATAATACAGGTCAAAACTGTATAGTAATGTGCTACATCAAGGAACACAAAAAAGGAAATATCTATATCATACTTGTGATTGCTGTGTGCAAAAACAAACCACAGGCCAACACACAAAGTAAAATGTAATCAGCAAAAAATGCTAGTTAATGTATCACACTATAGACCTCCCTTAGAAAGCCATTTGGAAATAAAGATAAAAATGTCCGAGGGCTTAAAGAATACGGTTGGCAGCCCACTTTTTTGGGGCTCCTTAGTGCTGAGGTATAATCCTGCTCAAAATGTAGCTGTCAGAAGAAGCATTAACGAAGCCGTCTCCTCAGTCTCCACACTGGAAGTCAGATGATTCCCTGCTACTTTTAAAAGAGCGAAACACAACTCCCACTATCATAGCTGAGGTTTCAGCAGCTAATAAAATAGGTACTGATGTCTGGGGCTATGTGAGTGAACTAATTATGTCTGTTTATAATGGCTGCCACGTTTATAAAAAACAGTCTCAGTGCTAACAACATCTAATTTGTTACTTTGTGAAACATTCTGAGTATCATGGCTTGGAAAAGTGTTATTGTGACTCATTTTTGTAAAAAGGTAATATGTGTTGTCTTTCCCACACAGCTCTTTCTGACAAATTGATTGCACCCTTGCCAGGGCAACATTAATGGCAAAATCGATTTATATTATATGCATTTTCTTACATCTAGGTGTTTATGAGGTGGAGTTAGTGCCATGTTAGTGATGCACCAGGAAGAATTTTGACTTGATTGCTTAATGAAGGACCTCAAATGAAGTATATATCACTTCAGCTGTGCTTCACGTGTTCAGAAACTCGCACAAAAGTTAACCACCTTTTTTGTGTTCACATTTCTACAGGCTTCTGCTTGAAACCCGGTAGGTTGCATTGGTAAGAGGAAATCTGGAAGGACGAGTTTTGTCAATTATTTTTTTACCCACTAGGGGGACCCATTGTTATGACTAAAAAGTGGAATCTGAAGTTAGTGAAACGAGAATAATCAAATGTCAGGTTGAATTTTTATAGCAGAAATCTTTTCGCTCCGTGTGTACACACATCTGAGAAACCTGTGTGCCTGTTCCACCTGCATAACACAATTAGCCAACTAATATACACTTCTACGCAGTAGAAATAAAACCAGCATTTTGCACATGCCGAAAGCTCACCTCTCTCTGCTGGTTCACCGTGCATCTTTACTTTGCAATACAAAGAGACAGAAAATAGATTAATTGCTCGTGATACCCAGGCTTGACTAAGAAAAT